ATATGCTCATGAGTACATTCAGTAAGTGCACTCATATGAGAATATAAAAAAAATTGTGTGACACAGAAGTGAGTTTGCTCATTATATGCTCATGAGTACATTCAGTAAGTGCACTCATATGAGAATATAAAAAAAATTGTGTGACACAGAAGTGAGTTTGCTCATTATATGCTCATGAGTACATTCAGTAAGTGCACTCATATGAGAATATAAAAAAAATTGTGTGACACAGAAGTGAGTTTGCTCATTATATGCTCATGAGTACATTCAGTAAGTGCACTCATATGAGAATATAAAAAAAATTGTGTGACACAGAAGTGAGTTTGCTCATTATATGCTCATGAGTACATTCAGTAAGTGCACTCATATGAGAATATAAAAAAAATTGTGTGACATAGAAGTGAGTTTGCTCATTATATGCTCATGAGTACATTCAGTAAGTGCACTCATATGAGAATATAAAAAAAATTGTGTGACACAGAAGTGAGTTTGCTCATTAAATGCTCATGAGTACATTCAGTAAGTGCACTCATATGAGAATATAAAAAAAATTGTGTGACACAGAAGTGAGTTTGCTCATTATATGCTCATGAGTACATTCAGTAAGTGCACTCATATGAGAATATAAAAAAATTATGTCACACAGAAGTGAGTTTGCTCATTATATGCTCATGAGTACATTCAGTAAGTGCACTCATATGAGAATATAAAAAAAATTGTGTGACACAGAAGTGAGTTTGCTCATTATATGCTCATGAGTACATTCAGTAAGTGCACTCATATGAGAATATAAAAAAAATTGTGTGACACAGAAGTGAGTTTGCTCATTATATGCTCATGAGTACATTCAGTAAGTGCACTCATATGAGAATATAAAAAAAATTGTGTGACATAGAAGTGAGTTTGCTCATTATATGCTCATGAGTACATTCAGTAAGTGCACTCATATGAGAATATAAAAAAAATTGTGTGACACAGAAGTGAGTTTGCTCATTAAATGCTCATGAGTACATTCAGTAAGTGCACTCATATGAGAATATAAAAAAAATTGTGTGACACAGAAGTGAGTTTGCTCATTATATGCTCATGAGTACATTCAGTAAGTGCACTCATATGAGAATATAAAAAAATTATGTCACACAGAAGTGAGTTTGCTCATTATATGCTCATGAGTACATTCAGTAAGTGCACTCATATGAGAATATAAAAAAATTATGTCACACAGAAGTGAGTTTGCTCATTATATGCTCATGAGTACATTCAGTAAGTGCACTCATATGAGAATATAAAAAAATTATGTCACACAGAAGTGAGTTTGCTCATTATATGCTCATGAGTATATTCAGTAAGTGAACTCATATGAGTGAATTCACATGAGTATGTTCTTAATATTCTCAAGAGTATACTTATTGAATGCACTCACGTGAGCTTATAAAGTTTTTGTAAAAAAATAAAGTGAGTACATTCGTAATGAACTCCTGAGCATGCTCAGTTGAATGAGCTTGCATGAGTATAATTTTTGAGTAGACTCACTTATATGCTCACTTTTCTGAGCATGCTCTTTGTATGTTCGGGAAAGTCCTTTCATCAGTTTACATACTTTATTTCCATTAGTATGTCCAGGAGGTTGTTTCATGTAAATCTCTTCATATAATTTACCATTCAGAAAAGCTGTCTTTATATCATAATGCTTTACATGATATTTTCTCTTTGCTGCAACACTTAACAATGTCCTAAATGTGCTTGGTCTAACAACGGGTGCGAAAACTTCGTCATAATCAGTTCCGTATTTCTGGTTAAAGCCTTGAGCAACTACACGAGCTTTATACCTTAGAACTTTACCATTTACATCTCGCTTGACTTTAAAAACCCATTTTGATCCAATTGCTTTACGATCTTTAGGTAAGTCAACCAGTTTCCAAGTATTATTCTGATGAATTGCCTTCATTTCATCATCCATTGCAAATTTCCATTGCTTACTATCAACACATTGAATTGCTTCGTCATATGTTCTAGGTTCCTTTATATCAGTTTTCTCAACCTTACATACATAATCGTCATATTTTGATGTATTTCCAATATTCTGTCTCGTTGAGCGTCTTATTGTAGCATCTGGATCAATAAGATTTTGTGTTAATGATTCACTGATAAAATCTTCATCAAACATGTCTTCATGATCCTTCTCATAAATGCTTACTTCCGACTCATAATAACTTGATTCATTGTCATCCATGTCTGACACTGTGTTATTATTATCATGCTCAAGATTGTCTCATCCGACTCCATATCTATGACGACTGTATCTTCTTTATGTGTTAAATCACTTGTTGATATTTTGTTCCTTGATTCTAACGCTTTTACATCTCTTGCTATTGATATCACTTTTGTTTCAGGATTTATCAATCTATAGCCTTTAGATGTCTCATCATATCCCATGAATTTCAATTTTTGTGCTTTTTGATCCAGCTTCCTTCGTTTCACTTTTGAAATCCAAGCGTAACAATCTGCACCAAATTCAAAATATGATTCTAGCTGTGGTAACTCATCATTCCACATCTCTATCGGTGTTTTCCCTATGGTTCTTGTGATTAATCTGTTCTGAATATAATTTGCGCATGAAACATATTCAGCCCAATACGATTTATCTAAATTTGCTTCAAACAGCATACTTATGGCTGCATTCATCAATGTTCTGTTTTTGCGCTCAGCAATTCCATTTTGTTGACTTGAATATGGTACTGTTTGCTGAATTTGAATTCCTTCTTGCATCAAGTAGCTTTGAACTTTTGAATTTACGTACTCCAGTCCATTATCACTTCTGAAGACTTTTGGCTTTCGTCCAAACTTATTCTTCAACATCTCAATAAATTGCACTACATGATTATTCACATCTGATTTTGCCAATAGAAAATACACATGTGAATATCTTGTATATTCATCTATAAATGTTACCAAATATCTTTTTTCACCAATGGAATCTATTTGCATTGGTCCACAAACATCCGATACTATAACATCCAGTCTCTCTTTTGCTGGATTAATGGATTTCTTCGGAAAAGTTTCACGAGACATTTTCCCTTTAATACATGCTTCACAGTCATTTTTGCATTTACATTGAACAATCTTCAATCTGTCATTGATTTTCCTAATGTCATTCAAATTGCGATGAGCCAGCTTCAAATGCCACTGACGAATACAATATTTATTTGATTGTTTTGCAAAATTCAACTCAGCCATTCGACACTCATTTAGCATGTAAAGTCCATTTCTCAAACGTCCAATTCTGTACTGCCGATTACCGTCTACTAAAATTACAAGATCCTTATTAAATACTACCTTGTAATTTCTTTCGATGAGTTTATGCACGGATAAAAGTTTTCCTCTTGCTTTAGGAACGTACAGAACGTCGTAAATTGTCACATTGATTTTGACACCATCATCAGCCACAACGATTAAATCAATATTTCCTTTGCCAAGAGCTCTTAAACATTCTCCATTAGCAACTTTTATTACTTCCTGAACGTCAAAGTTCAAAGAAGTAAAAGCTTCCTTATCGTTGCAAATATGACACGTTGCTCTGGAATCGATACACCAGCCAGTAATGATATCCTTCATTACTAATCCAGCTTTATGAAAAGGCTTCTTGGATCCAAATTTCGTGTTTTTATTTTTAAAAAATTTGCTGATGTGTCCTAATTCACCACATTTAAAACATTTCACACTTTTTGCTTTGCTTTTTGAATTATTATTGAAACTTCTTGTTACTTTCAATGCTGTCGATGAATCAATTTCAACTTTTGTCTTTCGTCGATCTGCTTCATCCAGCAATTTTGCCTTTATATCGCTGACGGTAAGTTTATCGTCATCTCTTGCCTCTAAAGCTGTAACAAATATATCATATTCCTCATTTAGACTTGCAAGAATAATAGCCTTCACGTACTTCTCCTCAAAAACATGATTCAGATCCTTTAACTCATCAAATCATTCCTGTAAGTTTTGTAAATGCGTCTTCACATCGTGATCATCCTTTTACAATTCAGCTTTAAATAGCTTTTTTACAAGTCTAGTTTTGCTGCACATTGTGGATCTCTGATGAAACATTTTTAACGCATTCCAAACTTCCTTAGCGGTTTTGTTATCAGAATTAAAGATGAATTATTATTTTAAATATTTCTTTAGTGGGATTGTAAATTTAATTGAAGTTTGAAGAAAGCAAGAACAAGGCACAAAAGATCTGAGTAGAGAGAAAAAGATTTTTGAACATCAAAAGTTACAAATTTAAGAGCATAGAACATCTTATTAAAGAGCAATGAACCTAGATTGCTGTCTTGTATTACGCCATTCAGTGTGAGACCTGCAACACTGATATTATGACAAATTGGAAGCGATTAATTCATCATTAATGTACAAATTGATGTCAAAACTTATTATATTATTATTATAAAAACCGAGAAACCACGACACGACATGTTTACGTTTTTACGTTTAGGCATTAAGAAGATTAAATCATTTTAAATGGGAAACGTAACCATCAATCAGGTTAAACACTTGATTAGCAAGCCCATTGAATGCGAATTCAAAAAGTGAGATCAGCTACAACTTTACATTAATAGATTCTAGAGATTCAGCATCCAGAAGTTTGACCATCGAATAAAAAGGTTTTGGAAAGTCAGATCAGCTCAACAAGACATAAACAAGTATATAAAGATGAACAATTACGACTGAATTGGATAAACACGTGCCAAGAAAAAAATGGAAAAGGGTACAAGTTTGTCACGAAAAGTAAGCAACAAAGTCAGATGTTGTTACCTAAGCTTCACAATTTATGTTTTTAACAATTTGCTCTTGCTTTCTAATCTCTTCAAAATATCTTCTGTATTAATTATAAAACAAACAAATTCGCATCACTTACCTCAAAACGATTGAAGTTCTGATCACTTGTTTGCATTGTTGCTGATAAATGATGAACAGTTTTTGACATTTTGTTCGAATTTAAAACTTCACGATCGAGTCTTCCTCGTGAAATTTTCCTGATCGAGTGTTGTTGATGAAATCTTCAGGATTATTAAATCTTGATGATGTTTTGATGAATTGTTGAAGATCTTGTTTGTTGAATCTTGATAGTTGATTCTTGTTGATCGAAACTTGATGATTGAAACTTGTCCTTGATTAATTTTCGTTGATGAAAATTTTTTCGATGCACTCATTGCGAATGAAAATTGTTGAATAAAAGAAGAACTTTCTGAACGGTTGCTGGGATTATTATTTTTTGCATTTTCCAATGTGAAAAGTTAAGCTTATGTTTTTCACTGAATTTTTACGCATTTACTGCTTTAAAGCTTTATTAACGGAAATTTAAATTCTAAAATATTTTGTTCTGTGAATGCCAAGGCTTAATTACAGAAGACTGTTGCTGACTGAACGAAAAATGTGAAATAATCTGCGCAATAAACTTCTTGAGGTGGAAACATGGATTTGAGCGAATAAAAAGGTAAGCAATAGTCGAATATCTACCATGTTACCGAAATCATAAAATCAGGAAGATGTTGAATCGGATTTTGTGCCATTAGAAGAGATAATTTGGGAAGAAACTAATGTCATGGCCTGTGATTGATTTTCGAAGCTCTTTTTCCATTTCACCGTTCTAGTTACGAAGCTTGGTTCGTGTGCTGGGTGTAGTTTTGAGGTCTTTGGCACAGAATCTGCCTCCTTCGCTAGGTAAACAAGGATATACTAGCATGTGGATGACTTCCTTACGGCATCTTGCGCACACGAATTGTGACTAGGTTCATCGCAGGGTATATCAGGTCTTATGAAGTACTCGTGTCTTTGCAATATGCAGAGCTTGCAAGTGTTTCGGATCCCACTATAAACTTTAGGTCTAAAGGGTGTGGTACAATAGATTCTGTTCTAATTTGAATCGCAGTGCCTCCAGCTGAAAAGGATGGGCCCTTCACACATTATTATTATTATTAATGTCCAAATTGTATGATGGAATTTTTGATAATTGACAAGCTTCAAGCACACACTAATGCTTGCCATACAGGTCATCGATGTGACATTTGTATTTGATCAAGTGCTTGATTGCAAGCTCTTTTAATTAATTTTCATTCTTTATCTTTAGTTCCATTTAGATGTGATACAATTGAAAGCATTTGGGCTCTGGAACGATATTAATGAATAGATGAAGAAATAACATTAAACCATCCAAAGTTTTCAATGGCTTCAAGTAACTCGGCTATGTACTGTTCGTGATTTTAAAATCGCTATTTCTTTTGAAAAAGGCAAGTAAGTCAGTCGTCGTCGTTAAAATTTTTCATATCTAATCTTCTTTATTATCAGCCATTAGAATTAGCACATTTCATAGCATAAATGATAATTTCAGTTCTGTCTTACTATATAATCTTATTGAGTACCGTGCGTGCTTATTGATAACAATACTTCAATAATTCTTTTGTTTGATCCAAAAATCTTACTTCAGTTTTGAAAACCTCTTCAACGATGGACAAGCTTTTGCTAATATTTTTTATTCCCGTCGTCATTAGTGACAGCCTTCTAGATAATTGGGATGGTCCAGGTCCTCGACTGACATATCCAGGACCAATAAAGTTTTTGAACCAAGGAATGCTCCGAGGTCGAATTGAGCATTATGATTTGACAGAAAGCATTGTAAGCTATAAAGGAATTCCGTATGCACAACGTAAGTTACGCAATTGCAGACTTCAAAGCTTAAAGATTGTATTTTTTTAAAATATTCAGCACCGGTTCGTGAATTGAGATGGAAACCTCCTGTTCCTGCATCTGGATGGAAAGGAATAAAAGATGCAAGTCTTTTTGGAGCCAATTGTCCACAATTTGGTGCTCCTTTAATCGGAACTAGACAGCCATTTGTCATGAATGAAGATTGTTTGTTCATTAACATTTTTACACCTAATAGGATGTTTATGAGGAATTTGCCTGTCTACTTTCACATCCATTTGGGAGGTAAGTGCTTTTTTTGATGTTTCAATTAATTGATAGTAATCATATCTTATCTTTCAAGGCTTCCACGGTGAGTCAGGAGACCCAAATATTCACAGCTGGGAATTCTTCCCTCAAAATGGCGTCATTTACGTGACATTTAACTACAGATTAGATGTCTTGGGACAACTTAACACACAAGATCGTCATGCAACTGGAAATTATGGATTGAAAGACATTCTTGAAGCTCTCAAATGGGTCAATAGAAATATCCACAGTTTTGGAGGCGATCCAAACAATGTCATTCTGATGGGATTCAGTGTTGGTGGTGTTGTTGTTCAAGCTCTTATTTATTCTGAAGATGCTAAAGGTCTATTTGCCAAAGCTGTATCATTATCTGGTTCTTTGTTCCAAACTTATCCTTTCCAACCAAATCCCAAAGAGAAGGCTGAAGCTTTAGGTAGGATGTTGAACATAGAATTTAATAATACAGAAGAATTAGTGGCTCAGTTAAGGACATTCACGCCTGAACAACTGTCAAATGCAACTATTAGGTTTTTACCAACAGAAATGCCAAGTAAGAACTAAATTTAGCAATTAAGTCTTAATTAAATCCCTATATATATTAAAGCATTGTTTGTGCCTCGAACCTTTGTTCCTTCAATCGACGCTGAGGATACTGACGAGATCAAATTAATTCCAAAACATCCAGACGTCCTAGCCAGAACTGCAAACTACAATAAAGTTCCATTGATGATTGGATTCAACAGCATGGACTCAATGACGAATTTGTTATTTCCAAATGGACGAGATCGCTTTAATGCTGATCCCCATATGTTGATTCCTGATGCCTGGAAGATTGAAAGAAACAGCAGTGAAGCATGGGAAATAATTGATGGTTTTAGACGAGTATACTTTAATGGATCCGAAATTGTAACTGAGGATATGATGATGCAGTGGATGGAATTCTGCAGTGACCGAGAAAATGCTTTTGGAATGTCTAAATTTGTGGATTTCCATTATAAGGAACAACCTGTTTACTATTACAGATTTAGTTATTCTGGTGCTTTCAGTTTCTCGCAAGTAAGTATCCAATAATCAATGAAACATGTGTTACTAATCAAATTTGTGCATCTCACAGCAATATTTCGGTCTCATGCACGTAAATGGCACAACCAGCTTTGATGACTACATGTATCTGCATCGAATGAATAGATTTAGAAATCCAGTACCAAGATCTGATCATGCATACACTGTTCAAGATAGATACCTGCGGTTAATGCTCAATTTTGGTAGATTTAACAATCCAACACCGAATTCACAAGATCGACTACTGCAAAACATTCAATGGCCTCAAGTAACTGACAATTTAGAGTTTCTCGATATCGGCGAGAATCTTGTGGTTGGAACACATCCGTTTAAAGAAAGAATGGACTTGTGGAGGGATTTTGATCGAAGATTTAATAAGTTCTGATAATTGAAGATTTAAGTCATGTCTAATCCTTTTTAATGGAAATAAAAATTGGCTGCAACAATGGTGTAATTATCGGGATGGTGAAATTTTTCTGAATCTACGTCAGGTATCACACTTTTTGTCATACATATCAGTAAAATTCATTAATTCAGTTAATTTTAACTGAGGTTAATCTGATTTTAATCAATGCAAAATGAAAATGTTTTCATGATAAGAGTATTTATACCACCTGTGAGTCTAAATTTGTTTCAGTTCCAAAAACTTTCTTCGATGATGTACAAGTTTCTCCTTCTCTTGCTAATACCATTGGTGTATGGAAACTTATCAGATGGCTGGGAAGGTCCTGGTGATCGAATAACTCGTGCTGGACCTGTCATAACTTTAAATCAAGGGAGGATAAGAGGCTTGATTGAACGTTATGATGGAAGTGAGACTTTTGTGTGCTATAAAGGAATTCCTTATGCTGAACGTAAGTTAAAATCTAATAATTAAGCCAATGATTCTAATCTATGACTCAATTACAGCACCTGTCGGCGAATTAAGATGGAAGTCTCCTGTACCTGCAGCTGGATGGAGTGGAACTAGAGATGGTAGTCTTTTTGGTGCTAACTGTCCACAGCTCGCAAGCCCTATTATTGGAACTAGACAGCCATTTGTGACTAGTGAAGATTGCTTGTTTCTTAATGTCTTCACACCTGATCGATTAATTATGAGAAATTTGCCTGTTTTCTTCCATATCCATCAAGGAGGTAAGGCTTAGTTTAACATAAAATGTTGGAATGGGTGTCAGCTTTGAACTCATACCTCCTTCATTAATTCAATACAATCATGTCCAAATTTTTAAAGGATTCAACAGCGAGTCAGGAGATCCTAACCTTACTGGATGGGAATTCATACCTGAATACGGCCATGCTATCTACGTAACATTCAATTATCGATTAGATGTTCTTGGACATCTCAATACTGAAGATCAGTATGCAACTGGAAATTATGCATTAAAGGATATTCTTGAAGCCCTAAGATGGGTTAATAGAAACATTCATAGCTTCGGTGGTGATCCAAATAATGTTATTTTGATGGGACATAATGCTGGTGGAGTTATTGTGCAATCGCTCCTATATTCTCAAGATGCTGCAGGTCTTTTTGCCAAGGCTGTATCTTTATCTGGTTCTTTGTTCCAAGCTTATCCCTTCCAACCGAATCCAAAAGAAAAGGCTGAGGCTTTGGGGAGAACACTGAATCTAGAGTTTAACAATACAGAAGAATTAGTAGCACAATTGAGAGAATTCACACCTGAGCAGCTATTAGAAGCCTCAAATTTATTTACACCAACTGAAATGCCAAGTAAGAACTTGATTCCTAGCCTTAATTTAATACTTAATAATTCTTAATTTTACAGACAAGTTTGCTCCACGTGCATTCGTTCCATCAATCGATGCTGAAGGCACTGAAGAGGTTAGACTAATCCCAATGCATCCTGACATTCTTGCACGAAATGCTACGATCAACAATGTCCCATTAATGATTGGATTTAACAGCATGCATTCAATGGAGAACTTGAACTTCCCAGAAGGAAGAAATCGATTTAACGAAGATCCACATTTATTGATTCCTGATGCATGGCAAATTGAACGAGATAGTGCTGAGGCACATGAGATAATTGATGGATTTAGACGAGTTTATTTTGGAGGATCAGAAGAAATAACTGAAGAAATGATGATTCAATGGATGGAATACTGTTCTGATCGTGAAAATATATTCCCAATGTTCAAGTTTGTCGACTTCCATTACCAGCATCAGCCTGTCTTCTTTTATAGATTCAGCTTTACAGGTGCTTTTAGCTTCCATCAACAAAACATGAACTTAGTTGATGTTAATGGCGCAACAGTTGAAGACGATTTCATGTATCTCCATCGGATGAACAGACAAAGAAATCCAGTACCTTTAAATAACCATGCATATACAGTTCAAGAACGATATTTGAGACTCATGATTAATTTTGGACGATTTGCAAATCCAACACCATTCCGACTTGATCCATTACTTCAAAACACTCAATGGCCACAAGTCACAGCCAATATGGAGTTTTTGGACATTGGAAGAAGTCTTGTTATTGACAGTCATCCATTTATGGAGAGAATGAATTTGTGGAGGGATTTTGATAGCAGATTTAACAAGTTTTAAAAGCTTATAATTGATTTTGAAGTGTTGTGGCTGACATATGATGTCAGTTTTTATTAGATTAGTGTAGTATAGCTTTTTAAATGTCTCTAAAGCTTGAAATAAACGAAAAATAAAGAAAATCTAGTTTAACGTATTTTTGACATTTGAAAAATATTCAAAAATTTCTTAATCCATGAAAAAAATACACATTTAGTATTTGAGTCATTAAAAACACGTTTTCTAAAAATAAAACTTAATTAAGTGAATTAAGACGTCTAAAGCTATGGAATATTGTAATGTAAGCATAATTGATGGCAAGATAGTCATCAACGACAAGAATATCATCAAGAAACACAAGATTATCCATCAACAAGTATCAAATCAGCGTGTTATTGTTCAAAACGATGTTCCGTACGTAATTACAGTAAAAGAAGAACTCCAAGAATATTTTGCTAATGAAGAATCCAGTCCTGATAATCAGGAAGGTGTTGAATCCAGTTTTGTATCTTATGAAGAGATAATTAAGGAAGAAACTGCATGCCCAGATTGTATGATGGAGTTTTCGACTATTGAGAATCTACAGGAGCATATTAATGCTTGTCATACAGCTCATCGATGTGACATTTGCTTTAGGCAACTTAAAAGCAAAAGTGGACTTGATAGACATCTTAAATCACATTTAAAACCAACCAAATTCTTTGAATGTGAAATTTGTCATGCAAAAATCTCGAGACGAATTGAATTTAAAAAGCACCTAATGAATCATAATATTGGGACTAGATATGTCTGTGAACTGTGTCCATACGTCTGTACAAGCAAACGTGGATTGCATGATCATCACGTCAATTTTCACATGAAGAACTTTAAGCCATTGCGATTCCTTCCCTGCAAGAAATGTATACTGTCATTCCGGAGCCGAGATGCTTACGATGAGCATCAATTATATCACAGCAAAATGGAACAAATGGAAGAAAATTAACCACAAGTGCTTGATTATTTTTTTTCTGAACTAAATGTTCACTTTATTCTTAGATTTTGATGAATTTACTCAAGTTTCATACATCATAGATTGAAATTTAACATACTTATAGAGGAAGTGGATAGAATTATTTGCCATTTCACATAAATTTGTTTGTACTTGCCCTTGAAATATTCAGTTTTTTTCTTATTGATCCATAAATATTGAATAAAAGAAGTTTAAGGCAATTGATTCCAATTATTTTAATCTGATGGGCACATAAAATCTCTTTTAGGCTAGTAATAGATGAGTTTTATTCACTTTTTTATAATTGAAATAAAATTAGCAATTTTAATGTTTAGTGGGTTCTTTTTGGATGATATTTGAAAAATAAAATCAGTCTTTTGAGGCCTATTTTTCAGTTTATTAAGCATTTAAAGTTTTTTCGAAATACGTTTTTTAAGGAATGAAATGTAGTTTGTTTTGTAGATTTCTTCACATTTGTTTAAGAATGGCAATTAAATTAAAGCATAAAAAATCAAAATCATAAAGTTTGACGATTGATGAAGGACATTTTAGAAGGCAGAGCTGTAAATTAATTTTAAGTTCAAAACTTGAACCTTATAAACCATTATAATATTCAAATTTTCAGAAACCGTTAAAAATTCAAATTTTGAAAAAATGTTTTAAAATCTAATCTTTAATCATTCTGCCTATCTTAAAATGCCTTCAAACTACTTTATCCATAAAATATTTATCATTATCTCCTGGTTTTCCTTCATATCATCCTATCCTACAATCTATTTATTTTTCTAAATTAAAAGTTAATAACTTTTTGATTGGTGCATTTATCTTTTCACTTTCATTTCTTTGCTTAAAAAAAACATCAACAATAATAGATAAAAACCTGTCTCAATTTCTTCACATTTAACAGTTCTCATGATTTACTTTAATGTGCTTAAAATCAATGTTTTTTAAAAAATAATTCGTGCATTTTCTAAATTGCACATTTAATCAAACTTAAAATAATTAAATAGGTAATTACAGAAAAAAAGAATATTTCTTAACTTTTGGTGAATATCCCAAAAACTATACATAATAAATTTATTCTTCTTATTGCAATCAATTACTTTTAAAATGAGTAATGCTCTCTATAAATAATGATTGAACAAATAGACATAGCTCGTGGACAAATGTGATGACAAATATCACAAAAAAAACGTAAAGTTTATCAAAGGAACATTATTGTAATGTGTATTTTTAAGGCATTAAACTGCTCATGCTGCCCAATTGTGATTTTGATTGGGCAAATTGCTGCATAAGACTGTGTCTTGCTAACTGTTGCTCCATTCTTTGTATTGTTGCTGTAAGATGTGAATTTTCGACATAAAGATCCTTTACGAGTAAGTCTGCACTTGCTAGTCGCGTTGCTTGCTCTGATATGACAATGCTTTGTGCCTCTAAGCGATTCCTTAGTTCATTAAGCTCCTGACGCTGTTGATGCCATGTTTCTAAAATAAATACATTGTTGTTAAAGTATATTATGTGTGTGTGTGTAGACACAGATGTTTGTGATACTTACGATACATTATTGTTTCTGTGTAATGCTGTTGTTGTCTCAAAACATTTTGCAGATGTTTATTCTTCATTTGAAGTCTTTCCAATTTTTGTGATAAGTTTGGATGAGTGGATTTCTGCAAATAAAAAATAAATCATAGATAATGATCTTTACATAATGCTAAAGTATGACGAATAGAAGAGGTATTTTATCAGACAACTGACTTAGACAATTAGTAGTTCAGATAAGCATTGAGAACTTGTTATTAATTTAACGGATTTTTCGGATTCAAAACATAACTGTTTTTGCAAATTCAAATTTTAGTACAAGAATTTAAATGAATGAAACCCGTTCAATTTTAAAATTTCAAACCCCGTTATTTTTTGTCAATTTCAAAGACCAAAACTGACCACAATAAAGCACATTTCCACGAAAATTAATGACAATAAATTAGCTTATCCTCTTGATGACCAAAATAAATCCCCATCATTGATCAAAAAAGAAAAGAAACATCTATCAACTTACATAAGCATTTGCTAAAATAGGCCTTGCTTCTTGCAGCTGTTGAAGCTCCATAATAAGACTTTCACGTTGCGTCGCTAATTCCTGTATCTCCTCTTTCATTTGATCCATAATCATCTTCATCTTTCTTAATCTCTCGTGTCCCTCATTAACGCTTGTTAGACTTGCTGCGCCATCATTTATCTCATTCAATGACTGAATACTATTCGAGACGGCAGATTTATTTGATATTAATGATAATGCTTCATTCACTTCCAACAATTCTTTTGACGTTTCTGAGATTTCTGGCTGTTGTGAGTGCTGCGAATGATTTGAGGACGGGGGCTTTTGAATTGGTGATATGATCCTGATTGGTTCTTCCATAATTACTTCTTCCTGCATGACATCATGATTTTTTTTACTTACATAATTTGGATTCTGATAATCTCGTATTGGACCTGTGATTGTGTTTTGATTTAATAGGTAACTTATTGGTGAGCTAGCAATGCTGACGTTGTCGGGTGATACGACACGTGGCGGTGTTTTTAAACTAGCTATTGACTGATTTTGTAACTGAGTAACTTCCAATTTTAATGCTTCAAGTTCTTTGTCCTTTTCATCCAGTAATGATTGTGCATGAACTTTAAGTTCCTCCATTTCATTCTCAAGTTCTATATATTGACTCTCAAGCTGACATTTCTCATCGATTGGACTTAATCGTCCATTATTCTTTTCAACTTGTGCTGCAAACTGATCTTCAAGTTCTGACATTTTTTGTAGCAGTTCCGCAAACTTTTCATCACTCTGTCGTTGATCATCGTCAAATAACAATCGTTCCTCATTCACTTTTGCCTGCCAATAGTCTTCACAATTCTCATATTCTTTACTCATTAACTCTAAATTATCTTCCAGTTCCTTTATACGATTCTGTAGCCGCTCATTTTCATTCTTGAATTTCGTAAGGTCATCAGCACTAATATCATCATTATTATTATTGTTGTTATTGCTTGTTGTTGAAGATCCAACCACACTCGTTGATTCCTCAATTTTACTTTTATACTCTGACACTTTCTCTTCCAATTCCAGCATTTTTCTTTTCATCTGCTCAATCACTTCCTCATCATTCTTTTGATGTGCCAGTATAGCTTTTGGATTAGGCGTTGATGATGCCAATTCACTATTCAATGCCATCCATTCACCGCTGTTTTCTGTCTCTTCAATGTCATTGCTAAATTTTCTTACTTTTCCCATTCGTGGACTCTCTTCGACATTCCGAGACTTGCTTGGCGAATCACCGCGACGTTTAATAGCGGCACTTGTTATTGCTTCTTGCTCGTCTATGCTCAATGTTTCGCGTGTCACTTTACTCTTGTTCTTCCATCTCATCACCTGTGAATTGTAAGTTTTAACGTATTTTAGAATTTTGAAATGTTTTAAAAACTTGAAAACTAAATTTCTCTTTAATTAAGCAGTTAAAGTGGGGTTTAAGTATGTCAAAATGACCTCAATCTAAAAATCCCTAAATGCAGCTAGTACTGCCAAGATGCAGATGGTGCTGCTAAAGTGCAGATGAAATTTATTTTCACTAAAATGCAGATGAAATGCTGTTGCTTTAAAAAAGGTTTAACGCAGATAATTTTTATCGTATAAAGTGCAGATAAGATGCTGCCTAAATGTAGATCGTATAATTTCATTAAAATGACTTTAAATGATCCATGATGAAATTTAAGGGTAATTATTTTGTCTGACGACATATTTATGTATATATTGGCTCATCTATATATCTTGCAAAAATGTTACATGTCGTTTAACAACAAAACTAGTGTATCGGGTAGAAACCCAATGCGGATATATTCGCACCGTACCATCAAAAGTCTTATGGATAGACAGAGATTTGTTCAGCATAAGTTTGAAGGTATAAATCCTGACGAACCAGCTTTATATCTTCAAACATATGCTGAGCGAAGCTCAGCTGACTATCTAGCTTTATACCTTCAAAGCGCAGCTCTTGCTTGCTTGCTTGTTATACGATAAAAATTATCTGCATTATACCTTTTCTAAAGCAACAGCATTTCATCTGCATTTTAGGGAAAATAAATTCCATCTGCACTTTAGCAGTACCATCTGCATTTTAGGGATTTTTAGATTGAGGTGCAAAATGAGAAGAATAATGAGCAAAAATGAATGGCATTTTCTGATTTAAGCATATATTAGCCTAAAGATCGGAAATTAATTTTCAAATTCTAGTCATTGACATTTTAACTAAAGCACAATTTTTACACTTTTAAAACTGTTTTGATGGCTAATTTCCCATGAATACTGTTATCATCACAATAATATACAAATGTATGCTAATTAAGACGGCCTTAGACAAAGCTTTAATAAGAAAAACTGCGAAAATATTTTTGTAAACAATTAAAACTTACATTAGACCAAATTTCTTTGAAATTAAACATATTTAACTATTTTCCTGTTAATAAACATAAGGTAAATAGCTAAAAGTGATTGAGCCTCGTCACAAAAAAATTGTACGTGAGTGACGCTTTGTTATTTTAGATTATCTCCTTATCCCTAAAAGTGACAAATTTAAGAGTTACTTTTTTGAAAAAAGAACGAAAATCTCCATCTATTGGTGTACAACTCACTTCTTGAAACTTTACAGTTACTCGAAAAAATCACTTTAACTAAGCGTCACTCACGTACAATTTTTGGGAATTTTGCTATATCTTCATTATTGTTTATTGATATATCTCCAAATGTATTTTTTTAGGTCCGAAATTCAATTCTGTTCTTTTTGAGTTTATAAAAAATTTAAAAATGCTGCGTTAACATACCTAAATGGACAAAAACAAGTTAAATTTTTTTTAACGGTTTTAACTGTTTTGAATTTTTTTCGGTTGTAATTTGTTTGTTTACAAACAATAAATGAAATAAAATTTGAAAAGTCACGAAAATATCACTCAATAATAATATAAAAGCTCTTAAAATAGTCAGGACATCTAATGTATCATCTACTTTTCGTATTCAAATCATAATATTTGGGATTAATGATTGAATAATCAAGAATTTTGAGAATTTAATTTTTGATGTTTTATATGATAGTGTTAGTGAAAAATTCAAATCATTTTTTTCCGTTTAGCAAAAATCCTTATATGGCCCATTGGGGCCGTTCACTTATTACGTTACGCAAAAAAATGACTTTTTCACCCTCCCCCCTTGTTACAATATGTTACAACTCACAACCCCCCCCCCCCCCCTGAACGTTCATAATTTATTTTATTTTGATAAAAAGGTGGAAAATTTAAAAAAATGTTTTTGGTGTGAATTTGTAAACAAATTTTTTTCGTGAACTTTTTTTAAAGACAGACGACAGTTAGAACGTTACATACTTCTTGACACCCCCCCCTCCTATGTTACATTTTGTTACAATTTTTCAAACCCCCCTCCCCCCTAAAATGCGAACGTAATAAGTGAACGGCCCCATTACATTCAAGAAAAATCAGAAATTTTAAAAAATTATTTTTTTTGGCTGTTAAGGATCTATTTTTAAAAAAAAATTGAACTTTGAAGTTGCATTTTTTCAAATATATTTTTGCCGTTATCATTTTAACATTTGTTGACAGTTAAAAAACTTATTTCTAGATTTTCCCACAGATACGAACTAGTTTAGGCATGCGACATAAATAAAGCAGTAAAACAATGCAGAAACATTACCTCAACATTAAGACTCTCAACATCCGACTGTAGCTCATCATTCTTGTCCCGCAAATTGGAATTTTCCATTTGTAAGGTTTCAATCTTCTCAATTAAATCCAACATTTCCTCATTATGTGAATCAATACGTTCATCAGTTCCACCGCCAACTTCCATTTCGGAAATGTCTTGATTTAATTTGATATTTTGTTCAAGTAATTCAGTTATTTGTTTATGAAGTTCAGCTTGCTCATTCTCCAAGGCACAATTATCGTCTTTTAAGCTCAAAAGTTCTTGTCGTAATTTCAACTCTTCAGTCTCCATTGTTTTTATTTTTAATTCTAGTCGCGAATTTAAATGTCCCAATTGTTCTCGCTCAGCTGTCAATTGATTTGTCAACTCACGAATAGCTTCATTGTGTCGATTCTCGAGTGACTTTATTTCTGATCGTGTCGAATCTTCGAGATTTGAGTGCCTTTCGTCAATCTCTTGTGCTAAAATGGATGCACGTAGATTAATTTCTTTATTATCGGTAAATAGCTTCTTATTCTCTTCGGCTAATTGACGAAAGCTATGTCTTAGTGATGATATTTCTGACTTGTGAAGCGCAACAGATGCTTTAAGCAATGTAGACAACACATCTGGTGTATTTTGTCGTTGAATTTCCTCTTCAAGGACATTACACAGTTCTGATAGCTTTATTGTCTTGCTTAAAAATCCTAAATTATTAAGTAAGCGTTCTGGATCAGGCACATTAGCTGTTGTCCACATCGTCACGATATCTTCATTCGAAATACATCCAGACTCTGTTGAGAATATAGGCACAATATCTTGATAAACTTGTTGCGTGTCTTCTTTCTTCTCTAAATTATTAAAATTCACACTTTTCTGTCCGATATTCTCGACACTCGAAAACATATCCGAATCGCTTTGTAATAAATTCAAAAAGTCATCAAACTTTATTCCGCCGTCACGCTTAATTGACAGCTTCTCAAACACTTCCTCAGCTGCTAATTTTGCCGCAATTTTATGAAGACCGACACGTTCACAGACAATTTCAAGTTGCGGAAAATTGAGGACATCACCAGCTTCAAAGCTGTTCCATACAACGCGTAAATTCTGCGACAATAAACTCATTTTAATTAAATTATCACTTTCATCCATTGAATCTTCATTGATTTCGCGCTCTTGACGCAACTGACGTAATCTTATTTCTAATTTTGATGCTTTTTGCAACGGAAGTGATGCACAACGCTTTAATTTTGTTGAATATAGTGGACGTCTTCGTTTTGTACCGTGCACATCACTTTGAGACACTGAACGTTGGACTTTTGACTGCTTTTTCTCAGGCGATGCCACAATAATTGTTGTTGTCTCGTTATCTGAATCCGATGTGTCATTAATCAGATCATCACTATTTTGTGTGGGACGTGATCGACGGCCGTACTTTTTTGTACCGACAATATATTTTGGTGAGATTTCACGGTCCGATTCGTTGTCACTTGATGGCTTTGTTGTTGGTGATACTTGAGTTGTTGTTGATGCAGATGTGTCTGAATTGTTATTAATAATTTTTTTTATTTTTTTTATGGATGAAGAAGACAGAGAAGTAAATGAAAAGAGCAATTAAATTATTAAATCAGTAAATTGTAGCTAATTGTTGTCTTTGTTTTATGAAACATTAGAAAATTATTATTATTTTTAAAGTAATTCGAGATGTGAACGAAAGAAAGACTAATTAAACACTAAAACGACAGTGAGTGAATAAAATAAAGTAAGCAAGACGAAAGAGAGATAGTCTGTCTCAAAAATTGTGTACATTTGTGTGTAGGATGACATCACGACAACCTCTCTATCGTGTAGTAAATTTTTTGCTGACAGTGTGGATGTTTGGAGGTGACTTGGGCGCATTTTTGATGAGTTTGTTGTTATTTAAGGCACAACGATATTTTTGTTTTGGATTTATTGTCTCAAAAACGTGCAGTTTTGGATGAATATTTGTTAACGGTTTTCAAAAATTCAAATTTTAACGGCTTTCAAAAAATTGAAGCAAAAGCCGAGTTCAAAATTTTGAACTTTGTTAAATTTCAAAAAATTGAAATTCCGTTAAAATGAATTATATGTGAAATAATTGTTTCTAAGGCTATAAGATGCTGTACATGAACTTTTTAATACCCCAAATATTTTCAAAAAATCAAATGAACTTTCCTTATCCAAATCAAATACTAGAGCCACTTATTTATAGCCAAATGGTAAAGAAAAATCAATAAATCGTTTACATAACAAATTTTAAAACAAAATCAGCTTTTCGTGACCTAAATAACCTTATCAGAAAAACAGTAATCCAGCCACTACCACAAAATAAAGGCAGACAAATTAAACTCACGAAAATGAGCTAAAGATACCCAAATAAATCCATTGAAAGGAGATAATTCATGAATTAATGCCAAAACTATTGTTGGCTCGTTTGTCACAAATTTAAACTGGATTTTACTTCAGTCGCACACAGTAAAAAAAAGGTAAAAGAATGTTCACTTTCATAGCCGAAAGGCAGCAAAATTGATTATTTTTTGGGTTAAATGTAATTATGTCAATTTAGTAATTTTTTATGTATCATTAATTTTTTCAACATCATGCCTCACACGTTTTTCGTCACACTTAACATTTTATGTAGAATGTTCACTACAAGTCCGGGTATCAGTAATGATTACTTAATTAAAACTCGCACTTTAATCAAATATATTTTATTGTTTTGTGCCTTCTTTCTTTCATTCACACACGCTTTATGGACATTCATTCGTTATAGTACAAAGGTATTGTTAAAACAAGATAAATATAGCTTTTAAGTTATTGATAAGCCTTCACCGTATTTTATTACATTTTACTGTCAATGTCTTAGTAAGAAGAAAAGATTATTAATACGTAAAGGAAATAAAAGAAAAGAAACTACAAACACAAAATAAAATAAAGGCAAGAACAAACCCTAAGCAATAAACAAGATGATCCATTTTCCTTTTACCTTCTGCGATTTTTTTTATATACAACCGTTTACACACCTTCTTTTTACCTCTAGCAGAATAATTGCCAAAAAAAAATAAATATATATACATACATAATATAGTGAAGCCGAAATATAAAGCATAAAAAAGAAGCTACAAGTGAGCGGTAAATTAAAAACAAAAAAAAATAATATTATTGTGTACAGAGAAAATAATTCCCATTGTCAAATTTTATGTTTGCGACGCCGACGGTTACCAATAGATATTTTAAACCCCCAAAAATTTGTGTTCTTATGTTCATTTAATTGACTTTTATTTTATGTACACTAATGCAATTGTTGTTATTACACTTTAACCCCATCGAGTAGGACTGTGAGTATGATACGGAAGAATGGAGCCAATAAAAGTAGTAAAAGTTTTTGTGTATTAAAACGCTTTGCTTATTTTAAAGGAAATGTGAATTTTTGAGAGATTTAACGTTTTTGTGAAATTCAAAATCTAGCGGTTTTCATGAATTCAAATGTTAACGGTTTTGTAAATTTTTAATTTAATTTGCAGTCAACTTCATGAGAAATTTTAATTTGAAATCAAAAATGTACTATATTTTGAAATTTACAAAACCGTTAAATTTAAATTGAAAAAATTCATCTTAAAAAACAAGCAAATAAGCCTCACGTAGCTTCAATCCATCGAAAATATTCATTTTATCGTTGAAAAAAATCAATCAGGACAAAGCACAGTGCATGTTATCCTCATAAAGTGCCATAAAACAAAGCTTACATAGTTATTAATGTAATTCCTTGAATCCTTTATCAAATTACGTATAGCACTGGGACAACCACCTGATTAAAAATAGAGATAAGAGACCATTTGAGCGACAGCTAATATAAATGACGGCGAGTTTCATTGATGAATATAAATAAACTTGAATTTAAATAATGCCGCTTAAAAAGGAACGTCAGGTGGACTAATGTGGATAAGTGAAGCAACAAAGAAACACCCAAGTCATTTACGCCTAATATCGTCCATGGATTTAGTTTCAAGCGCGTTGTTTATTTTTGCACATTCTTACTAATTCAATTATTGTGAATTACTTTATTCTTAAAATACCTTTTATTTTCCACTTCGTGATTCGTATATTCTGTTATATCTATTATGTACACACATACTTATAGTTTATACATTGAAGAGCACTTGAACTTTTTTTTAGAGAAGCTATTCAAGAAGCTATAAGCATGTTATTAGATTTAAATATTATAATCATAGACTATAAATATATTTAACGATGATGCAAATGTGATAAATGTAATGTTTGAACAATAAAAGTAAGAAGTTTTTGTTATCTATCGCATAGAAAGAAATCGAGCAAATCGATTAGAACAATGAGTGTAGCTTAAGAGAGTGGTCATGGGTGTTTTCAAATTATTAAGGAATTTCAGAAGATTTAAAGTTTAACGGTTCTGTAGAATTTGAATTCAACGGTTTTGTAGAATTTGAACTTAGCGGTTTTGTAGAATTTGAATTTAACGATTTAATGAAATTTGAATTTTAACGGCTTTTGTAGAGTTTGAATTTTAACGGATTTGTATAATGAATTGTAAATCTTAGGATTAGAATTACAAATCAAGGATCAAAAATTTTAGCTACTCTAGGAAACTGAATGATTTAAAACGTCATTATATGTACAGCAACCATAATCCTGCACTGGAATATTCCAAAACCTCGAACAATTTAACAATAAATGTTCGAAGCACCACAAAAATGACCTTTAGCTAACAGAGACACCACAATCTAAACAGTGATAATTTATTGGAATGCAGCTTGAAATTTAATTTTACTTTTACTAAATGATTGGCATCATGAAGAAGCAATTTGTGTGCGAAAAAGTAAGCAAAAAAGATAAGAAAATGAAATAAAATTCCAAACGATTGATGAGAATTTTACTCAATTTAAAAATGTGCATAGCTACATGTACTTTATAAAACAAAACACAAAATAAGAATAAGAATACAAAGAGTACCATCACCCACATAATGTGAATCAAGAGAATAATAGCAAATAACTAAGTCAAAAAGTAAAAAGAATATATTCGAGGATGGAGAATTTACCGTCATCTTCACTAGTTATGACATGCAGAAGACCCTCGCGAAATTCGTCGAATGTAACTCCTGTCTTGGTTCCATTTTTGAATAAAATACTGATGAGCAATGTTAGCCTTTCTTTGAGCTGTAGTGTTTGACACAAATTTCTTAATCCACTTTCATTTAACTTCCCGTCGATTTCGAAATTTTTGAATAAATTAAAAAGCTTTTGTTCGTAAGGATCTATAAATATTGAATTATTTTGGATAAATGTACTCATTGCAAAGTATAATATATGTCCAATGTTCTTGCAAATGATGATTTAATATGCAATTAATAAAATTAACATTAAATTTGCAACGTAAATATATTTTTCAAAATTAAACGGTCTTTTTTGATTTGAATCTTTAGTACAGTTATCGTACAATTCTTTATAAAACGCTTTAATTAACAATTAGATCAATTTGGAAACGAAATATCGAAAGAACCAACAAAATGAGTGATGAAATAATTTTTGTACAATTTTTTCATTGACGAAAAAAAACAGAAGGCACGAATTTAATGTTTTTAGTTATTTTAGTAAGGATAAACTCACCCATCACACAATTTCTTAAATAAATGAGGACTTAACTAACATGCTTAGACTGCTAAGCACCCTATTTTCGTGCCTTAAATCACAATTATTAATTTTTTAATAAATTTCTCTTATTTTGTAACTCGCCCTTTCGGAAATGACTGATTTCTATTGTTTACAAAGTGAATTGCTTCCTTTAAAACGATTAACATTGATTTCTAATGATGTGAATTGCTTAATATTGTTAATTAATTAATATCTTATTGATCTAGATTCTTTATTGATCCTTAAAAAAGTTGATATTATTAAATTAATGAAAACAGTCGAATTCTGTATTTTTTTTGGAACATTTTGAAGTTGAAATTCAAATTTTAAAAAACTGTTGAACTTATTCGACGAGTTTTAGGCGATTTTGTTGTTTACATTCTTAAAATTTCACAATAAATATTAATTATGGAAAAGAAAGAGGCAAACAAAGATTTTACTGATTGGGATACGATAGATGAAGAACGAAAGCACTTGTACGTGCTGGGTAGAGATGTGTCAGAGATACCGTGCTTCAGAAATAGCTTTTTGTACGGAATTTCAGGAGGTTTTGGAACTGGATTAGGTAAATTATATGCTTTTTTCTTGAAAGTTGTATAAAATTGATCATTTTTGCAGGAACGTTTATGTTTACATCACGAACGAAGCTATCTATGCATGTTGCTTACGGAACTTTCATTGCTACAACAGTTAGTTATTGGTTTTATTGCAGGTATGGAAATAAGATCCAGTTCATAAATCCATAAACTTTTAAATGACTTAATAACTCCGTTATTTTAATTAATTAACAGATACAACTACTCAAAAACGAAATTCCTCTATAGCCAGCTGAAAACAGCGATGAAACAGCAAGCGTTATATGAAGGAACTTCCATAGAAGAGGAAGTCAGTAAGAAGGCGCAGAGTGTATAGTAGTGTATTAATTTAATGTATGCAAATTAGTTTAAATAAATTTTCAAAAGTGGAAAATCAATTAATTGAGCCATTATGATATTTTAATACTAGGCTATCCGTTGGCGCCCGTGGCGCCACTTATCATTGTTAAAATTTGATTACTATTATGTAAATAACTGTAAGACGCAAATGACCATAATGTTATTAAGGTCAATCCTACCACAAAACTTCACATGGCCTCACAACCCCCTCAAACTCGGATTTCTTTAATCGCAAAACTTCTCATGACTTCACAAACCTCTTCAAACTCGGACTTAATCCCACAAAAATTTTATAAATGTCTTCTCAAACCCTCTCAAACTCGGACCCCCTTAATCCCACTAAAACTTTAATTCCCCCGAAACCCACCATGTCTTTTCACAAAGCTTCGCATGGCTTTACAAAACTTCACATGGCTTCACAAAATATTCCTGACACCAAACTTTTCTCACAAACCCCCTAAAATTCGGCCCCCCCCCCCCCACCTGACACCCATTTGTCACTTCCCCCACAACTGACACCCACCTTGTCAGCACCCCTCAAATCATTGGCTTCACACGGCTTCACAAAATATACCTGACACCCCCTTTGCCTTCATCTCCATCCGACACCCACTTTGTCACCCCCCCACAACTGACACCCACCTTGTCAGCACCCCTCAAATAATTGGCTTCATACGGCTTCATAAAATATACCTGACACCCACCTTGTCCCCATCCCCCACCTGACACCCACCCCCACCTGATACCCACCCCCAACTAGCACCCACCTTACATCTGACAACGAAGCGTGCGTTACATTCACAGCCTGAATGATTACGTAGCGTGAAACCACCGATCGTGTGATACACTTATCAAATCTTCACTTACACGTCCGACATTTGGAAGAGTACATTCACAGAGATATAATAATAAAACTAAAGTGCTTTTGAGGAGGAAGTGGGTTCTGAATTATATTTTTGGATAAACGTAATAATTAAGGAGGGTGTTTTTTTGCATATTTCCTAAGGAGTTTGAATCCTCTAATCCTCTTCCCCTGGTAACGACCCTAATATGTATTGAAGCACAAATTCTATTAAGTTTACTGACCAAGTTTGTAATTAATTAAAAAAGATTTAGCATCAAACTTGCAAAATCCAAAATTTTACTCAAAAAGTCTTTTATAGCTTGACAAATGAGCTTAGATTAACTAATTCACGTGGAATAGAAATTCATGTGTAACAAAAGCACGTGTGAGAATTAGTTTGACTTTATCTTAGAACATAAGCATCTGAGAGAATTTTTTATTTTTATCAAGTTTGAAAAAAATCTCGACAGCACTTAATCATAAGTAGTTTAAGTAAGTAAACAACATAATTGGCTCAATTATCTTGCAAAACATAATATAGAGACGCATGCTTAGAAGAAAATTATCACGTCACTCAAAAGCAGTGTTGCTAACTGTGCAGCACAGCATAATAAATTGCGAAATTTTCATTCAAGCGTTATATAATAAGTGAACTGCTCCTTAGGATATTTTAGTATTAAGGCTTATCTTATTCTGTCAAAAAATCTTATTCAAAACCCTTTCGTTCTTAATATTTGTTGTTGTCAAAGAAGTAGTAAAATAATCGAAAACAATTCAACCAAGATATACGGATGACATCTTCCAAACCTCTTTACTCAAACATTGTATCTATTACCAACAAACTTTTTAGGAACTAGCTAAGAGTTTAAATAAATATTTTTATCAAACAAAAAATTTCTAATTTTAAACCCATTTACCGAGAAATAATCATATTTCATGTGTGATAAACTTGAAACTTGATAAAGAATATAAAGAAAGACAGGCAGTTAAAAGAAGCAAACAATTACACGTGAGCAGTCAGGTTTCCTTTCTGTCCATTTATTAATTTTGAAATTTAATAAAAAGTATCAAGTTGTGTAAAATTCTGACAATAGGCGTATTCACAATGCACAATGATTCAGATTCGGAAAAAATGTTCAAAAATTCCTTGTGCACAATATTTTTCCGACACGCTAGAAAATTGAAAATTTTTGGTAATTTCTCTTGATTTGATTCTTTTAGCATCTTCTACGTTTTCGTTCATTGTTCAAAAAATCAGTCCTTTATATAAAGGATAAACATGATTTTTTACCAAAAGTTTGTAAAAGTTTATCAAAAAATATTGTGCATGATCAAATTTTGTATGAAAATTTATGTAGACTTTAATCGCAAATATCTCGAAAACGGCATGCCCTCAGTAATACGGGATAGATTTAAGCTTAATTAATTGATTTATATAGGTTTCAGAGAGATCTTTACTTTACTTTAAGAGACTTTTTAACTTTTGAACAGTTTAAGTTTTGTAAAAATATTCAGATTTCAATTGCATTTTTAAGACTTAATCAGCAGTTTTCATTTGATTTGGTAGTTTTAATATGCAGATCTAAGCTTAATTTAGCTAACAACAGCTAGCAAGATAAGGAAATAAGAACTTAAAGTTGAGAAAATCGAAGTTTATTTTCATATACAAAATGTAAACAAAATAAATTAAAGATTTCTGGAGTTTGACATCAAATTTAAACGAGATATTTCCACTGAATATGCCTTAAGTTAAGATCTTTAATCTGGCATTTAAAAGATGAAGTTTAATTAATATGTTATTTTTGAATTTTTGAACATTTTTTCCGAATCTGAATCATTGTGGTATTTTGGAAGGGAAGAATGATTCCTTCCCAGCAATCAGACATAAAGATGAAGGTATAATTTATAAGAAGCTTAGGTTTTAAAGTTCTTAATAGTTTAACAAATATGGATTCGCCTGACCTACAAAGAAGTATACTAGAGGATTCATAAAGATCTGTACTTTTTGATGGATGTCATTAGCTCAGTGCTGCTCAAACTATGTTCCACGACACTTCTTAAACTTTTAAATCAGTTGCAAAATGTATGGCAACAAACCAAATTTAAAATTAGCAAGTAGTTTACTATATTACGATCTAAACAGTTTGAGAACTCCTGGCATGGCTCATTGAACTTTGAAAACTGTCGAATTGAGAGATTACACGTGAAAAACTGCATTGCAAACACGAAGATCTTGACATTTTGAACTACATTCTTTACGAACATCAAAAGGGAAGAGCAAGAAAGAAATGCAGAAGATAAGGAATAATAATAGTTTGACTTCATTCCACACCATCGTTAAATTTTTTTGGCGATAAATAAGCAACGAAAGCTATATGACTTGACAAAAGTCCATTAATATCAATTTATATATTTCAAACTCAAATCACAGCGATGATTACATTAAGTTTAAAAGACGTAATTTTTACTGACCTTCATCTACGATTACGATTTCCGAGCTTATCAGTTAAAAACAATTATTTTTAATTTTTTCTAATCTTAGATGCCGAAAAATGCGCTGTCGTTAACCTCATAGCATTAAACTATTTTCATTCCTGACAGTCCTAACATGTGCCAGTTAATCAGTGTTAAATACTAAAAAGAGAAAAAATTTGTGGATGTCTTTGGTGAGTGTAAATGCTCAAAATATAGAGCTGAAAAAACACTTACAAAGGAACGAAGAAATCAGCAAGACATAAAAATTACTCTCAGTCATTACTGTTCGTCCAAACGAGCAAGACACAAAAATCTCGGATGTTAAAGTTATTTTTTTTTTTATAATTAATTTGGATATCCATCAATAAATTATCTTAGTAGTAAACAACATAATGAATAATAAAAAATCAAATCTAGTTTTTTTTGTGAATGGCAAAAAGGTAGGTTGAAATATTGCTGGATTATTGTGCAATTAATGTAGCTTGTTATTGTTATCAACTGACCTACAAGTGACTGCACTCTTTTAAATATTATTTAAATAAATAGAAATGCTCTCAATTGGCAATTAACTCATAAATTATATATAAGAATCAATGAATTGAAGATAAGGCGTTATCAAATGCGCGATTTCAGTTATTGTTGTTATTTTCTATGAACATGACTTGTCGTGCCTTAAAAAAATATTTTTGTTTGTTTGAATTAAATCATGCGATTTTCTATTTACTCCAAAGATAAATGATGAAAGCCCTGACCCTGAAATTACTTTACTACGTTATCTAAGAGAGAAGCTTCGATTATGCGGCACAAAACTTGGATGTGCAGAAGGCGGTTGTGGTGCTTGCACTGTAATGATTTCAAGATATGATCGATGTGCTGGAATTGTTAAGCACTTTTCAGCTAATGCATGTTTGATGCCGGTATGTGCACTGCATGGAATGTCAGTGACAACCGTTGAAGGAATTGGAAACACGAAGGATCGTCTTCATCCAGTTCAAGAAAGAATTGCAAAAGCTCATGGATCACAATGTGGATTTTGTACTCCTGGATTTGTCATGTCAATGTATGCATTACTTAGAAATACTCCGAAACCAGATATGAAGGAACTTGAAGTTGCATTTCAAGGAAATTTGTGTCGCTGTACTGGATATCGTCCAATCATTGAAGGATACCGAACATTTACTAAGGAATATGCATGTGGAATGGGAGATAAGTGCTGTAAAGTCACAGGAAATGGATGCAATGGGGAAGTCGAAGACAAACTTTTTGAACCAAGTCAATTCGCACCTTACAATCCGTCACAGGAACCAATTTTCCCACCAGAATTAAAACTCACTGATCAATATGATAAGGAAGTCTTGAAATTCTCAAATGATCGTGGAGTTATTTGGTATCGTCCAACAGAATTACAGGAATTGCTAGCATTCAAAAAGGAACACAAAGAAGCAGCCAAGATTGTTGTTGGAAATACTGAAGTTGGTGTTGAAGTGAAATTTAAACATTTTGATTACAAATATTTTGTGAATCCATCTCAAATCAATGCACTGAATCAAATCGATGTCTTACGTGATGGAATTAAAATTGGATCGGCAGTCACTTTATCAGACATTCAAATATTTCTTCAAAAACAAGTCAATGAACTTCCAGAATCAGAAACCAGAATATATAAAAGCATTGTTGAGATGCTTCACTGGTTTGCAGGCATGCAAGTTCGAAATGTAGCATCAATTGGTGGGAATATCATGACTGGATCACCCATTTCTGATTTGGTTCCAATTTTGATGGCTGCAAATGCGGAATTAGAAGTTGAGAGCCTTGATGGAGGACGAAGAACAGTAATCATGAATGAGAAGTTCTTTACTGGCTATAGAAGAAATATCATTAACAACTCAGAGGTTCTCATATCTGTCTTCATTCCGAAGACTTCAAATAATCAACATTTCTTGGCATACAAACAAGCCAAACGTCGAGATGATGATATTGCTATTGTTAATGCTGCTATTAATATCAAATTCGAAGATCGTGCAAAGATTATTAAGGAAGCAAAATTAGCATTTGGAGGAATGGCACCAACTTCAGTACTTGCAACCAAAACGGCAGAAAAAATGTCAGGTAAAGTTTGGAATCGTGAACTGGTTGAGATTGTAAACAAAAGTTTATTGGAAGAGATTCCTTTGTCAGCTGATGCACCCGGCGGAGTTATTTCTTATCGTCGATCACTCACACTAAGTTTGTTCTTTAAAGCATTTCTCAATATTAGCAATGAATTGGAAAAGTCAATGGACTTAAAAATTTTGGAAGATCGAGATAGAAGTGGAATTAAAGGCTTCCACACCTTGACTCCAAAAAGTGCTCAGTTGTTTGAGAAAGTATCATCTGATCAACCAAAAACAGATCCAATTCATCGTCCTATGGTTCATGCATCAGCATATAAGCAAGCAGCAGGAGAAGCAATTTATGTTGATGATGTATCAAGGCATGAAGATGAGCTATACCTTGCTTTAGTTTTAAGTACAAAAGCACATGCGAAAATACTATCAATTGATGCCAACGAAGCATTAAAACTTCCGGGAGTTCACGCCTTCTTTTCAGCCAAAGATCTTACTCCTAATCAAAATAAAATTGGACCTGTTTTTCATGATGAAGAACTGTTCATAAGTGAAATTGTTACAAGTAAAGGTCAAACTTTAGGTGCCATTGCCGCTGATGATCAAAACATTGCCCAAAAAGCAGCAAGATTAGTGAAAGTTGAGTATGAAGAAATTCATCCAGTCATTGTAACAATGGAAGATGCAATTAAACACGAATCATTCTTGCCTGGATATCCAAAATATCTCAAAAATGGTGACATTGACAAAGCCTTTAAAGATGCAGATCACATTGTTGAAGGTGAAGTTCGGATGGGAGGTCAAGAACATTTTTATTTAGAAACAAATGCTGCTATTGCAATACCAAAAGACACAGATGAAATTGAAATATTTGCATCAACCCAACATCCATCTGAAATTGCCAAATTAGCTGCTCATACGTTGGGAATTCCCATAAATCGTATAGTATGTAGAGCTAAGAGATTGGGTGGTGGATTTGGAGGCAAAGAGAGTCGAGGAACTCTCACAGCTCTTCCAGTGGCATTTGCTGCTTACAAATTGAGACGTCCCGTAAGAATGATGCTTGATCGTGATGAAGATATGCTTATTACAGGCACAAGACATCCATTCTTATTTAAATACAAAACTTCATTCCAAAATGATGGAAAAATTACAGGCTGTGATCTTAGAGCCTTCAACAATGCTGGTTATTCCTTTGACTTATCATTCAGTGTACTTGATCGCGCAGTCTTTCACTTCCAAAATGCTTACAAAATTCCAAATGTTAAAATTGAGTCAACATGTTTAAAAACAAATCTGCCATCAAATACTGCATTTAGAGGCTTTGGGGGTCCGCAAGGCATGATGGTAGGCGAGCACATTATCAGAGATATTGCTAGAGTTTTAAAGAAAGATGTCATTGAAATCATGAACATCAATATGTACAATAGTGGTGATCTAACTCATTACAATCAGTTACTGCCTGATTGTAATATGCGAAGATGTTTCAACGAAGTAAGAGCAACAGCAAACATGTCTGAACGACGCAGCGCAACAGAAGAATTCAATAAAAACAATCGATGGAAAAAACGCGGAATTGCTCTGACTAACTCAATGTTTGGTATTGCATTTACAGCACCGCATTTAAATCAAAGTGGATCCTTAGTTCATGTTTATGTTGATGGATCAGTCTTAGTCTCACATGGTGGAATAGAAATGGGTCAAGGACTGCACACTAAAATGTTACAAGTAGCTTCAACAACACTACAAATTCCAGTCGATAGAATTCATATTCAAGAATCAGCAACAGACAAAGTTCCTAATACTTCGCCCACTGCTGCATCTGCAGGTTCCGATTTGAATGGAATGGCAGTTTTGAATGCATGTAAGCAACTTTATGAACGACTTGCACCGTACCGAGAAAAGAAGCCAGAAGGTGGATGGAATGTGTGGGTTAATGACGCGTATTTCGACAGAGTTTCTTTATCAGCTGTTGGATTTTATTTAACACCTGGTATTGGATATAATCCAGCCACAAATTCAGGTCATCCATTTAATTATTACACTCATGGATCAGCAGTATCTGAGGTTGAAATCGACTGCTTGACTGGTGATAATCAAGTCATTAGAACTGATATTGTTATGGATGTTGGATCATCATTAAATCCAGCAATTGATATTGGACAAATTGAAGGTGCATTCATGCAGGGATATGGTTTATTTACAATTGAGGAATTGATTTACTCACCAGATGGAACTTTATATTCAAGAGGCCCAGGAATGTACAAGATTCCAAGTTGGAGTGACATACCAGGTGAATTCAATGTCTCATTGCTGACTGGAGCTTCGAATCCTCGAGCTGTGTATTCTTCAAAAGCCATTGGAGAACCACCATTGTTCCTAGCTTCCTCAGTGTTTTTCGCTATAAAGGAAGCAATCGGAGCTGCAAGAAAGGAAGTGAATTTAGATCCACATATTTATTTACAATCTCCAGCTACATCAGCAAGAATCAGAATGGCATGCAAAGATGAAATCATCAAAAATGTAAGTTTTACTATTTTTAAAGATTATTAATGTCTAACTTGATTTTTATTACAGGTTATCGAACCCGAGGAAGGAACATTTAAACCATGGAATATTGCACCTTAAACATCAAATTTACTGTATTTCATTAAACAAATAATTACTATTTACAGCATAAAAATTTGGTCCAAAATCTCGATTTTACTTGCTTTCTAGATCTACTCGATTGAATAGATGAAGCTGAAAAATTGTTTTATATTTACTAGACTTTTAAGTCAATAAAGATCATGTACTCACGACAGTCATTAATAGAATAATTTGTGGCAGCATTCTTCTGGAATGAAACGTGCTTCCTTATAATTTCAGTGTCTGTGAGACTGTCAGAGTTGCATATCGAAAGATGGGAATCTAGTTCTGAATCTATTGAAGTTCTCGATAAATTTTGATTTTCATTCGGTCTGTTGATTGTTGGAGTTGACAATGATTCTGATTTTCGGTTTGAGGATGTTTTTATCTGATTAGAGATTATTGAATGTGAGTTTGAAGATTTTTGGTGAAATTTCTTCTTTCTTGTATCAAAATCCATTGAAGTATCTGTCGTGCTTGTTAAGATAGTCTCGTTATTCATATAAGTCAAAATTAATGATTGATTTGAGCTTGACCTTGGGAACCTAATGAAATATTTAATAATGTAGATTTTTTTAATATTGAAGTTAATGTCTATCAGTAAAGAGTATGCGTATGATGATTCAAAAAGTTTTTTGACTTTTAATTTTTAATTCCAAAGAATTGAAATTTATCCTTAATTAAGGCATAAAAAAGTTTTTATCAAGGGGTATAATGAAATACAGCAGCTTAAAGAATATATAAGGTCCTTTAGAGGAAAAAAAATTATCGTAAGTACATTCTTTGTGCGAAGTTTTCAAAAATTAATCTGTAAAATTGTCTTAAAGAAAAAAAATTTAAAATAACTTAAATAAGTTTCAAATAATTTACAAGGATTATAAGTCCAGAAAAATGCATCTGGACTTATAATCGCACTGGGAGATTATAAGTAAAATTTATAAATTTTCTGGAATTATAAACCGCACGTAAGGTTTATAAGTCCAGATATAAAATGTAGCTGGACTTAAAAACCTCTCGTGCAGTTTATAATTCCAGCTGTATTTGTACCTGGACTTATAAACTGCACGTGAGGTTTTTAAGTCCAGGTGCAATTTGTATCTGGACTTATAAACCTTTAGTCACCTTGATTTTCTGGACTTAAAATTTTCTGTGCACGATTTTTGTATCTGGACTTATAATCTCTGGACTTATAATCCAGCATCCTTTAAACTTAAAACAAAGTCTTTAAAACATGTTGTAAGGTATGTTTTAAATGATTATGACTTTAGTAAATCTCTAAAGACCTGGAAAACGACCAGAACCTAGTCACAATCATTTTTCAATAATCCTTTATAATAATTTATTTCCATCTCACTTCAACTCTCGAATATCCCTCGACAAAGCTTCCAATAACGACTCCTTTCTTTGAATAACGTGCTCTAATTTTTGATTTTGCTCTCTTGAATATTAATATACAAAAATTTGATATTTAAACTATTTAAATTTAAATCTCACACATAAAAAAAAGTAATTAATGTGTATCCAAAAATGGTAATTTGAAAAACAAGTTTCCTACGATTTAAAAAACAAATATTTCAACTTCAAATATAGAACTCACATCAGAGCTATAATTACTAGCTTTACATCGATTGATTCTTAAGTATCTCCGAAATGGAGTGCGAATGAAAATTGGATTCACCTTCAAGTGCTTTCTTTTCCTGCTTTAAAACATCAATTTCTTGTTGCAGTTCGGCATAAAATGTGTTGCTTGAAAGTTTCAGTAAGTAACGTAACATACGTTGACTGCCACTTGATCTGTTGAAAGCACAAAAATACGTAAGTAAATAAAAGCTTTACGTCTTTTGAAGTTTTTAAACTTTAAAGCTTTTCAAAAGTTTAAAAAACTTAAATTTTAAAAATTCGTTATTTTTGTTGAAAATTTTAATCTTGTCAAACTGATTTGATGCAAAATCACCAGTTTAAACTTGAAGAATGGAAGTAAAGTTACCTTCGACTAGTTAACTGATGACATTCATGATCCCATTTAACAACATGTGCAGGAACTTTTCTTTGTAAAATTGTTTGACATTCTTTTGAATTTAAATGTTTGTGATCGGGTAGTTTAAAGTCTCCTGCTGAATTTACATGCTTTTGCATGTTTTTCGGCAAATTCTCAAATTTTTGCATTTTTCTATGTTCTGAATCGTTGATAAAGGCTTGTTCTTCTCTTCAGCTGTGAAGACTTTTTTGTCACGACATCGTCATTTGTCACGGACATAGCAAATTACCTCCTATGCTTATTTCATTATACTTTTTACAGATGTAATTTGCAAACTATAAGCTAAAAATAAACAGCGAATCAAAATGCGATTGATAAGGAACTATTGAAATGTATGAAACAATTTTAATTACTGTTTAATGAAAGCAGTTTATATCTAGCACTAGCGTGCAGTATTTGCTATATCCATTATCGCTTATTAGTAAAAATCAAACAAACAAACACTTGATTAGTTACTTCTTTGTTCGAGTGTTTTTGATGTCAGTTTGTTTATGTTTCCTGAGCATACCGGTTGCCGGCTTTAATAATATTTTAAAGTGTGATGTGAGAGTTACAATTTTTCTCTCTGATCATCACTTATAATTTTTTGTGAGTTTTTTTTTATTGAATGAAATTTGAGAACAATAAATCTGTCAAATCATGAGTTTTGGTTAGAAAGACTAAAGTTTTTACGGTAGTAAGATTAAAATTGAATTTCGGATTATTAGTGTTTTAATAAAATTTATTCTATAAATGAAGTTTAGGAATAATAAGATTTTAAATTTAAATTTTTGAACAATGATTAAAAGATTTTTTCATATTAAAGAATGCAATTGAATGATATTAGTTTTTTGACTTCTTAACAGCTCATTTAAGAGCCATAAGTAAGTGAAAAAAAAGTTCCACAAATACCCCTAGTAATTGGCTTTCATAGACAATGGATATTTAGAAGAAATTGCAAAATCATTCTGTTATTACTCACATCATTGTCCACGATATCTATCCAGATACTTCCCTCATTTTATATATTAAAAACAATTTCTAGAAAAAAATAATTAAACCCTTTAAAAAATTTGCAAAATCATCACAAAAGTTGAAAAGTTAATTTGAATTTTATTCCACGTGAATGATAAGAAAAGTGATGTGTGATAAATCAACGATCGCGACATAGCTATTTCTGTCTCTTTTTACGCTCACTCCTCGACAAATAGTCCACATTTTTCTCAGAGTAGAACTCGAAAATCTTTTATATATAATTTAATTTTTTTCAGTTTCGAGAGGACAGTTTGCGTCGATCATTTGAAGATATCGGATTCTCTAAAAAAAAGATTTTTCGTTGACTTATTTTTCGTGATTTTCGGATGTGGTTCATAAAAGTTTTTTGTCCTAGTTTTTGAAAGTTGGGAAAGAAGATTCATACAAATTTGCAATAAATAATTATTAAGGTAAACTTCAAGCTATGAAACTAAACGATAATGCTATTATTTAAATTAATTTATGCTCAATAAAGTTAAATTAAATACTATATTAAAATTTAATTGCATAATCTGACAATTGTGATGAATTGCATTGTGCCAAAGTGGATAGTAAAATGTGCATAAAAAGTTTGAGCAAAATAGTGTCAAGTGATTTCAAATGCTTCACGTAAAAATAAACTCTATAAAATATTCAAGCGAGTTAGACACAAACGACGTAATATGAACATCAATATGCTAATCAAATTTTAATATTTTGTTGTGTCTAGCTTGTAAATTATTGGATAAAAAGACTGGAAATGTGCCAAATATGATATTAAAGTGCGTAACTTCATTTCTTATCTGATCTTAAAGGCAAAGATCATTTTTCACATAATTTTTAAAATTACACAAGGAGTCGATCACTAATGATGTTCATTGAAGATGCGGTTTTTCGAAATTACTTCAAAAATATTTCACGTGATTACAAAACTCCATCTCTAGATGTTAGATATTCACAAGTGAACGACCCTTAATGGAAAATTACAAAACGATAGTTTAGGATATACATCCAAAGAAACGTAAATTGAGAAAAATCTTTTTCTTCTTTTTATGTTCGAGTTCTGAAATCAACTGTTGAATGTCTTCTAAAAGTCAAGATCATCTGAGAACATTTCACACTGACACAAACAAACAATTTAATAATGGTGAATAGTCGGGAATATTTATTTTTGAATAGGAAGAAATCATCGAAGCGAAAACTCAAGAAAAAACTTAAATTAAATTGACATTTTAAAAAAAACCGGAAACTTAATTACCAGATTAAGCATTTGCTGAATTTTTTTACGTTGTATTTTCTGAAAGTGAAGATGACAATGGAGAGAGAAAGTAGTTATGATAACATAAATCGATAACCTTCATACTTTAAAGTTAATAATATTTTTTAAACTGACAATGATAATGGACATAAAATTACAATAAATATTTAATCCTTAAGTAAATATTTACTTAATATTGACAATTTAATGAATATATAAGACTGTGAATGCTGGTGGTTTTTCTTAAGTCACAAAATTTTGTTTTTTAATTATGTAAAACTATGTAAAACAAGTAAAAATAAGCTAGTATGTTATCAGTTGCTTGTCAAAACATCTTTAATTTCTGTGTAGTAAATACTGATTAATATTAGTCCAGAGACTGACAAAGTTTGTTGTTTTGATGATTTGACTCTGATCTTAACATCAACCGAGTTCAGTACACATATTAGGGGCCGTTCACTTATTACGTTCGCATTTTAGGGGGAAGAAGGGGTTTGAAAAATTGTAACAAAATGTAACAGGGGGGGGGGGGAGGGAGTGAAAAAGTCGTTTTTTTGCGTAACGAAATAAGTGAACGGCCCCTTACGAAGATGAGATGCAAAATGTTCCTAAAATAAATACCGGCTTAGTTAACAGAAACAGGACAACGGTCTCTCATTCTTCGAAGTCAGAAAAATTGTGTTCAAAAATAATTTGTTTACATTTTAAATTGAAATTTTTTTCCACTAGATTAAAATTTATTTCGTGTGTTTTAGCTTTTTAAATGGTTTTAATATATTACTAGACTTCAAATAATGCTGTTAAAGTCATTTTGGAACTTCAAACAACATTGATTAAAGAAAAATTTGTTAATTTGGTATTTCGAATGTTTTTCGAACATATTTTACATAATTTTTGTAAAAAAACAAGATTTTGTCACAAAATGATGTCTGAAGTTTTTGTAACACTATGCTACATGAAGCTCTATTTCCTTGATTAATTAAAAAATTCTATCAAATCTCGCGCGAAAAAAACATGAAATGAATATTGCACTTTTGTTCATAGAATAGAATAGAACTGCTAAAAGTGTAACAAGTAAAACTGATTGATTGATTTCTATTCACAATAGCTTGATTAGGCAAACCTTCAAAACAAACTTCCCCGATTCACAGTTTATTTTGCTATTCATCACACTAATTTCTATCAATTTACAACTCAATTTAAAGTTTGCATCGTACCTAAAAGAGAATGTGCATATTGCATTACAATGACACCTCTTTTATATTCACCAATTAGACTATTTTAAATGCAGATGATTTTCTCTCTATTTTCAAGTTTATTTTACTTTTTCGTGAATGTGTAAAATCATCGAATCTGTGCTATAAACAATAAATCAGCTAGATAATGTGGGAAGTAAGCGTGATATTTACATTCATTTTCCTTTTGTTTTCAGTAAATTTGCCGCAGAGCAGAAAAAAAAATGGAAATTAAAATGAAAAGTTTCATGATTTTCATCGCGATTCTCATACTGGGACAGTCATCAAATGGACATCGAATTTTGGGATTGTTTCCACATCCCGGATTTTCACACTTTCATTTCTTTCAACCTGTAATGTATGCACTTGCTGAAGCTGGTCATGACGTTACTGTTGTAAGTCATTTTCCTAATAAGGAACCTCATGAGAACTACAAAGATGAGCTACTGGATAATGTTAACGCTGGGCTGCTGAACGTTGTGTCACTTGATGTAAGTTGATGGATAAAATTCTTAAATTCACAATTTATGAAATTTTAATTCTCTTCCAGATGTTTAAGAAGCAAAACACATTCAATCACTTCATTGAATTTTTTATGCTTAAAAATTTTGCACAAGAATCATGTCAGCTTGCTTTAAATTCATCAGCTATTAAAAATGTTTTTAATCAAGGTCGTCGTGAACCATTTGATCTTATTATTGTTGAAATGTGGAATACTGACTGCATGTTGGGAGTTGCAGAAAAACTAAAGGCACCGATTATTGCATTAAGCAGGTAATGTCAATATTGAACATGCTTGATATTTTGAAATTAAAATTGTATGGAATACACACGGGAATGTAAATCTGATGCCAATGAATTAATGTAATATTGTAGCATATTGTAGATGCATGAGCTTTAGAAGGTTTAGCCATAAAAGTCTTGTCCTCTCTTAATTCTCTCCGACTAGCATTATAGTTGAGAATCTATTGTGGCTCTGAAAATTTCAACTATGTCCCCGACCTACTCTAATTTCTGACATCATTTTTGAACAATTCCTTAATCTAAAACTTTTATTCGAGCAGCTGTAACATCATGCCCTGGCACACAACTAAACTCGGATTACCCTACGAACCTGGATTTTTACCAACAACATTCGTAGGTTATTCTGATCACATGTCATTCGGAGCAAGACTATCAAACTGGTTGACTCTCGCATATATGAACTTTATGTACAAAACATTCGTACAAAAGAACGACAATACTTATCTCAAGCGTAAATTTGGTGACGATTTTCCTAAGACTAGCGAATTGATAAAGAAAGTCTCTATGGTGTTTGTAAATCAACATTATTCGTTGAACGGTGCGAAGCATTTATCGCCAAATGTCGTTGAACTTGGAGGAGTACACATCGGAAAGCCGAAACCTCTCGATCCAGTAAAATTCTGTTAACCTTGAGTTTATTTCCATTACCTTCCTCAACATTACGATTTCTTTTAATCAATTGTAGGAGTTACAAAAATTGCTTGACACAGCTGAGCATGGTGTTATATATATTAGCTGGGGATCAATGGTAAAAGCTGATACATTGTCGGAAGAGGCACGCGAAGGGATTTTGAGAGCATTAGGAAAATTCAAACAACGAGTGATATGGAAATATGAGAATGAGACGCTCCCAAATCAACCTCCAAATGTTTTCATCAGAAAGTGGATGCCTCAACGTGAAATCTTGTGTATGTTACGTTTAATATTTTGTTCCTTATCAGCTGTAAAAAAATAATATTTTCATTTCTAGGTCATCCAAATGTTCGTGTGTTTATGACTCATGGAGGATTATTGGGAAGCTTAGAAGCTGTTTATTGTGGTATCCCAGTTGTATCTACTCCATTTTATGGTGACCAATTTTTGAATTCAGCTGCTTTAGAGCATCGTAGTATGGGTGTTGTGCTTAATTATATAGATATGAATGAACAGACAGTTCATCACGCTTTGCGAAGAGTTTTAGACCCAAAGTTCCGACAAAATGCAAAAAAAGTTCAATACTCATTCAAGCATCGTCCGTTACCACCAAAAGAAGCTGTTGTTTACTGGTCAGAATATGTAATTGCTACAAAAGGAGCTGAACTTGTGAAACCTTATTCTGTTCATGCAAATTGGCTTGTATATTCCGGAACAGACATTTTCCTTTTTGTTTCTCTTAGCATAATCACATTCATTGGAACTTTAATATACCTTATAAAAAAGTTATTTAAAAATGGAAATAAGAAAACCGACAAAGTTTCACAGGAGAAGAAAAACAAGTAAAAGTTTGCGATATAAATAATTTGAATCTACCTCTGGGTAGCATAATAAAGCCAAATTGTACCTAATGTTTACAAAATAAAAATAGATGTACGTTTAAGTCTTTAAAATGGTGTCAATATTTAATGCTAACAATAGACTGTTAATTATTAGGTGTGAGGCTTTCCAAATCGGCCGTAAAAAATTTGCTGTAATTATGATGAATGGATTGAATTTCATGGTTGATTATAGACAATAGAATAGATTTGAATATTAAATTTCATTAGCAAATCATCTTAACTTTCGGGAATTCCCCATGAAATTCTGAATATGTAGCAAGATACTAAAATTAGGTATGATTTATGGCAAAGTGTTGTATAGAAAATCGAATAGTTGTTGACCAGAGATGTAACAAGAATTCGTAAAAAGTATTTTTGCTAGCTATTTGTGTTAAGTTCTATACTTTTTCTATCTCATTTACATCATGCCCTCGTTCTTTACAAAATATACGAACAACCAATTGGTATTAAATATTTACCCCAAATCCCATGATGCCTGACTGTCATAAATGGCCATATTTAACTTTCTTTTTGATGTTTACAGCAGTTTACAGGTTCGATATTAAAAAAGAAGATTGAGTCATCTTTAACATCCCAAAATTGGCACTTAGTATCTAGAATCTAGAAGTAAGAATTCAAAAGTGTGAATAAGTAAACAAATTCTCTTGTCATTAGGTACATAAACATTTCCTAGCTAACCTAATTCTCGTGCATTATTTGTCAATATTTAAGACAATTCTTCCAAGCATTACAGAAATAATTTAATTAAATTTCGTTTCAAAATTTCAAAACCTTAAAATAATTGGTGAAAAGAAGCAGTTACTCAAACATTTTAGACTGCATAAAGTTCTTATGTCTGTTATCACAGCACTTAATGTGTTGAACTTTCCAGTGTAAACAAAAGTTAATGCTTGATGTTTAGCAAGTTCCGTCAGAATTTTTTAAAATTAATGTTTTTGTTGCATTGCTCAATTTGTGCTGGATTCTTAAGAATTTTAAATAGGTCGAAAATTTAAAAATATTTACAAAATCAATTTTTTGTGAATGAATGAATCTTCGGAATCACACCTGATTATTCAAAATTTATCGTCCACATAGGAACTGGACAGATTTTTAACATATACCGTTATTTGATGATGAATTATTTATTTTTTGCCATGCGATTCTTGTGTTGGAGAATTCTTTTTAATCCCTTATGTTTGTTCTCACATTCGTCTTTCTTTTGGATCTAGCATTTGCTGTGTATGCGGGTATGTATTTAAGGCGACAAAAGTCAGAGAAAGGTGTTCAGTTGTGATTTACGTGTCGTTAAAAAATGTTTGGATTCTCAAAAATTCTTTTTGTTTTTGGTGCAATATTGGCTGTGGTAAAATATTATTCTCTTAGCAATTTGTTCAATCTCTTCTGGATGGTTCTTAATTGGCATTCTTGAGTGATAATTGGTTACACAAGATCAGAAATTGCTAATGAAATCAACCAAGCACTGCTTAATACAATTCATATCTTTTATCCAGGCTAATGCAGATCTAGCAGCAGAAATCAAAACATTTCGTACCCAAACGCTAAATACTATCCAAAATCAATTTAACAATCTATTCAATGATGTCTACGGTCACTTCCATCGATCTCAAAACACTTTGACAGGTGCACGTCAGAACCTTTATTCAGCTGCATCTACATTCCCTTACTTCCGTCTAACTGCTGAAAATAGACAAAACTTGACAGGCGTTTTGAGTGCTTTAGTTTACAACATCATCGACCCAACAATTGAAGCTGTCCAAAAATCAGCTATGACCAAATTTTATGCCTACAATAGTGACACACAGACAGTAACTGAAGAGGCATTTTTAGCTGTTGATACTCAATTGAATGCATTATCAACATTGGCTCCAAATTGTACGACGGGAGTTACAAGCAGAAAATTAACTGCTGAATATTCAAATTATACAAATGGAATTAATAACTGCACAAGATTTGTGTTCCAAAAGTTCCGTGATCCAATCAATGAATTTACTCGAGAGCATTTTGTTGCACTTCCTCTAATTAACCGCATTGTTCGGGATCTGAATCAATGCACGGGTGGACTTAATTCCAACAGAATTGAAACTTGCGTCACTAATTTTGACAATACTTATTGCCAGGAAGATACATGCAAAGTCAATCCAACAATGTGAGCATAAAAAGTCGCATGACACAGACTCGAAATTGAATTTTATTGCATTCAAAAAGATAACATTATACTTTGCGCATCATTACTTTCAGAATGATAAGCAGCTCCATAAAATTCAATAACAAACACTTGAAATTGTATATGAAGCTATAAATTTAATTAAATATTTTCATTTCACAGACTTGCAGTCAAAGACCAGGCAGAGACTATGATTGTCAATGGTCGAACATTATATGATACATGCTTGAGCGGTTTGAGTAGTCAATTGCCATCGAAGCCTTCATTCTTGACTAATGAAAATTGTGTTTTAGGTTTTTAAATGTCAAGTAACCAAAATTTAATGGCTTTAGAGACTAGTAAGTAGTCTCTGACAAAATGAATTTCCATACAATTTTGTTATTTAATAATCAGTAATAAACAGACATAAAATCTATTTTTTAAAAAAAAAGTTCTGGTGCGTCAGTAAATGAAAATTTTAATTTGTACCCTTCACAAACAAAGTAATGCATTTTGCAGCACACTCTAGAATGTATTCAAATTCATGAAAATTTATGCAACATATTGCATCACAGACATTTTTCTCTGAATTACAAATGGATATATTTCCAACAAAATAGCTCAGAGCTCAAATTCATTCTGCAATTGTTTGCTATGCAAGCTGCAGGTTCATTTTCTATTTTAGAACTTGCTATCAAGTTTTAAAACAATTCAACTATTCAAAAAATTGTCAAGATATTTGAATCTTCAGTAAAATGAACTTGATAACTGTCGGGTTTTAAGGATTATTTTGAACTCTTGAGTTTTAAAACCATAAAAGCCGCAAATTCGTTTAAGTACGTCATTAGCAGTTTTTACATAGCTTATTTGTAAGACATATTATATACGAATAGTGTGAACAACACTTTTAAGATGTGATACCAAGTTTCAAATCTAACTGAATAATCTTGCAACGCATCAACAAAGCAGGTCGAATGTAAGAAAGATAAATTGTTAAAAAATGCTGATTCTACTCGGTATCATGCATGAAATGTATCATGTAAAAATACAGATGAGAAGCTAATTCAGTTACCAAGAATTTTATGCTTTTATCCACTTTTATAGACACTATGTGGAAGCATAAACCATTCATGGAAATCGTCAGTTATGTGAAATTCAATTTGCTTTTCCCGCAGTAGCTTTTAGACTGTGAGTCAGCCACATAATTCAAACATATAAAGAGCAGAAAAAGTTTGCATAATCACTGTGGACATTTTCAGAAGCATTTGCAATATTTTGATTTTATTGGTGCCTAATGGATGTTAGATTGTAAATAAACTAATTTTGGTTTGCGTAAAATATTTATTTAAAGCCCGCACCCAAATTAATTGAGGCATACAGCCGTATACCGTGTATTTTAAAATTATAATCATCACAATAATAAAAAATCAATTTCACTTTATCAATCGACATACAAACTTACTGCATAAAAGATAAAATTCAATATAGAAACGACGAATGCTTACAAGTCTACGTTCCAGGGTTTAAGTAACTTGTCCGTAGTTTCAGGAAGCTGTAAAAAATGGGGTTTAATTTATTTCATGAAAAACTTATATTTACATGCAAATTTTCCGTACCTTTTTTGTAATATCATCCTGACATGCCATGCGAATGCGAGCAGATGTTGCTGGTGATTGTAAATAGAAATGAGAACACAGATTCTCGTCTTTTCGTGCAGCTCCAATTGCTTCTTTTATGGCGAAAAAGATTGAGGATGCCAAGAACAACGGTGGCTCTCCAATGGCTTTTGAAGAATAAATTGCTCTCGGGTTTGCTGCACCAGTCAGCAATGAGACATTAAACTCTGCTGGAATATCACCAATGCTAGGTATTTTGTACATTCCTGGTCCTTTTGAATATAAAGTTCCATCTGGTGAGTAAATTAGTTCCTCAAGCATATACAATCCATATCCTTGCATAAATGCACCTTCAATTTGTCCAATATCAACTGCTGGATTTAATGATGATCCAACATCCATAACAATATCTGTTCTTATGACTTGATGGTCACCAGTTAAGCAATCAATTTCAACTTCTGATACACCTGATCCATAAGAGAAATAATTATAAGGATTTTTAGTTCCTGGTCCAACATCAGATGTTCCAAAGAAACCAGTAGCTGATAAAGACACTCGATTAAAGTAAGCAGCTTTAACCCAATCATCCCAAGATCCATTTGGATTTTTTTCTCTAAATATCTTTAATCTATCATAAAGTTCTTGACAAGCATTCATAACTGCAGGGCATTGTAAATCAGCACCGACTGATGCTACAGTTGGAATTGTATTTGGAACTTTATCTGTTGCTGTCTCTTGTGTATGAATTCTATCGATTGGAATTTTTAATACTCTTGACGCCACCTGAAGGGCTTTTGTGATTAATCCTTGTCCCATTTCAATTCCACCATGCGTAACTAGCACAGATCCATCTAAATAAATGTGAACCAAAGCAGCACCTTGATTTAAAAACAACATTGGGAATCCAATCACATATGAGACATTTACAATGGATATTCCACGTTTCTTCCAGCGATTTTGTTGATTGAAATGTTCAACAGCTTCACGACGTGCTTTAAAGTCTGAAGATTTTTGTACTTCCTCAAAACATCTCCTTACATTGTTGTCTGTGTGTATTTGCTTGAAATGTGTTATGTCACCTTCTGAATACATATTTATATCCATGATATCTATTACATCCTTGTCTAATACTTTAGCAACATCACGAACAATATGCTCACCAACCATCATAGCTTGGGGCGCGCCAAAACCTCTGAATGCTGTGTTTGATCGAGTATTAGTTCTCATGCAGCTTCCCTCAAACCTTATATTGGGAATTTTATAAGCACTCTGTATGCAAGTCAATGCTCTTTCCAAAACTAATCCTGAATAATCTATTGAATAGCCAGCATTCGAGTATGCTTTAGCATCAAGTGCAATAATCTTGCCATCATTCATGAATCCAGCTTTGTATTTGAATAAATAAGGATTTCGTCCACCTGTAATTACCATATCTTCATCACGATCAAATGCGATTCTTACAGGACGTCTCAAACGATAAGCTGCAAGTGCAACTAGTCTACTGATGATTCCGGTACGCGTTTCCTTGCCTGTGAATAAATTGAAATTATTTCTGTGTTTGACAAGTATGCGATTTGTAGCACTTACCTCCAAATCCACCACCAATACGCTTGACTTTACAAACCACCTTATTCAATGGTAAATCTAGCAATTTGGCAACAAAATGTTGAATTTCTGTAACTTGTTGTGTGGATACGACGACTTCCATTTCATCAAAATCTTTTGGATACGCCACAGCAACATTAGCTTCCATGTAGAAGTGTTCTTGACCACCAGTACGAACCTCACCTTCAACAATATGTTCAGCTGCTTCAAATGCTTTATCGACATCACCATCAACAATTTCTCTTGGGAATCCGGGAAAATATGATTCATGTTTTATTGCATCCTCAAGACTTACGATTACTGGTGAAAGTTCTTGATACTCAACTTTGACCATTCTTGATGCTCTTTGGGCGATACTTTGATTATCACCGACAATCACTCCCAAAATTTGTCCTTGACTTGTCACAGTTTCACTAACAAATAGTTCTTCGTCTTGAGCAATTTGTCCGATTTTATTTTTTGATGGTTCAATGTCTTTTGCACAGTAAAATGCATGAACTCCCGACTGCTTTAATGCTTCACTTGCATCAATTGAAATGATTTTTGCATGAGCTTTCTTACTTAATACTGTTGCAAGGTACAGTTCATTTTCATGTCGTGGAATATCATCAACATAAATTGCTTCTCCTGTTGCCTGCTTTAAAGCTGAAACGTGAGCTATTGGTCTATAAATTGGATCAGTTATTGGTTGATCAGTTGATACTTTCTCAAACAATTGAGAGCTTTTTGGTTCCAAAGTATGGAAACCTTCGATTCCGCTTCTATCACGATCTTCCAAAATTTTCAGGTCCATTGACTTTTCTAATGTACTGCTGATATTGAGGAATGCTTTGAAGAACAAACTCAACATAAGTGATTGACGATAAGACACAACTCCGCCGGGTGCATCAGCTGAAATAGGGATTTCTTCCAATAAACTTTTATTCACAGTTTCTACAAGATCACGACTCCAAACAACATCCTTAATCTTTTCTGCTGTTTTTGTCGCAAGCACTGTGGTAGGTGCCATTCCTCCAAATGCCAATCTCGCTTCCTTGATATAATTTGAATTGGGTAAGAATTTTATGTTTATAGCTGCATTAACAATAGCAATGTCATCATCTCGACGTTTGGCTTGTTTGTATGCTAAGAAATGTTGTACTTTTGAAGTCTTCGGAATGAATACGGAAATGAGAACTTCAGAGCTCTCGATGATGTTTCTACGATATCCTGTAAAGAAGTTTTCATCTATTTTAATCTTCCTACGTCCTGCATCAAGGCTCTCAACTTCTAATTTAGCATTTGCAGCCATCAAAATTGGAATAAGATCAGAGATTGGTGATCCAGTCATGATATTTCCACCAATTGATGCTACATTTCGAACTTGCATGCCTGCAAACCAGTGAAGCATCTCAACAATACTTTTATATATTCTGGTTTCTGATTCTGGAAGTTCATTGATTTGTTTCTGAAGAAAAATTTGAATGTCTGATAAAGTGACTGCCGATCCAATTTTAATTCCATCACGTAAGACATCGATTTGATTCAGTCCATTGATTTGAGATGGATTTACCAAATATTTGTAATCAAAATGTTTAAACTTGACTTCAACACCAACTTCAGTATTTCCAACAACAATTTTGGCTGCTTCTTTGTGTTCCTTTTTGAATGCTAGCAATTGCTGCAATTCTGTTGGACGATACCAAATAACTCCACGATCATTTGAGAATTTCAAGACTTCCTTATCATATTGATCAGTGAGTTTTAATTCTGGTGGAAAAATTGGTTCTTGTGATGGATTGTAAGGTGCGAATTGACTTGGTTCAAAAAGTTTGTCTTCGACTTCCCCATTGCATCCATTTCCTGAGACTTTACAGCACTTATCTCCCATTCCACATGCATATTCCTTAGTAAATGTTCTGTATCCTTCAATGATTGGACGATATCCAGTACAGCGACACAAATTTCCTTGAAATGCAACTTCAAGTTCGTTCATATCCGGTTTTGGAGTATTTCTAAGTAATGCATACATTGACATGACAAATCCAGGAGTACAAAATCCACATTGTGATCCGTGAGCTTTTGCAATTCTTTCTTGAACTGGATGAAGACGATCCTTCGTGTTTCCAATTCCTTCAACGGTTGTCACTGACATTCCATGCAGTGCACATACCGGCATCAAGCATGCATTAGCCGAAAAGTGCTTAACAATTCCAGCACATCGATCATATCTTGAAATCATCACAGTGCAAGCACCACAGCCGCCTTCTGCACATCCAATTTTTGTACCGCACAAATAAAGTTTTTCACGTAAATAATGAATCAGCAATAATTCTGGGTTTACATTGTTATCAACAACCTAAACGATAAGAATGTCAAGTCAATTGGTTTGATAATTTTTATTCTTAAATTAAAGCACTAATGTGTTTTGTTACGTAATAGAATGATAATGTGGGAATTTTATGATACTTTTTTCAACTATTTGAAAGTAAATAAGAATAAATTTTGTACAGCTGTGCAGTTTTCAATGCTTTGTGAATCATGACTAAGGCGATATTTTAAAAGATATCGGAATATAATTAAGAAAATGAATTTTATCAAGTTGTTTTTTTAACTCAACATGTTAAATTACACACAATTTACCTTTTTTCCGTTTACAAAGAAAACGAGAGTATTTGTATAGCTGACATCCATCATCAATTTTAATAAATAATTCCGAATTCCTGATAAGAAAATTTTTCAAACTCTCACTTTATTTTGTTATTTTTAAGTGCGTTCGACTAAATGTCTGAATCTTAACTAGCTGGAAATATTTTTTAAATAGAAACCAAGTTTTATCAAATGATTAAGATGTGAATGAGCAAAAATTTGAGAGTTTTTATTTCTTACTCTCAATTTTTAAAAGTTTTGAGAGAAAAAAACATTAGAATTGTCAGACGATAAAAAAAATGTTTATTTTTATTTTATTAATAGCTTATATGTGATGTGCCGAGTAGCACGTGTTTGATGTATTAGATTTTTGTTCATATTTAACTTACACTCTCAACTGAACTTTTTCAATACTTATATTTTACTGGATACATTCTAGACTTTACAATAGACCTTAAAGACACTATTAATAGACTTCAAAGATATTTTCTTCGGGTTTCTGGATCCAAATTTTAAAGGAAAATAATGAATTAAGAAGTTTCAAATGTCAATGTTCCATGCTGAAGCATCTGCTAGTTCAGGCTTCGGTATCTAAAATATTTATTTGTACGATACGAATCAAATGTCAATTTGCATCTAAATTGTGATGATTTGAATAAATCAATTGATAGGGTTGGGCAAATAATCAAATATTTTCGACTACAATTTTGTTCAACGCGACAATTGACTTACATGTCTTACCTTTTCTGTAATGCTGTCTTGACATGCTAATCGGATTCTTGCTGATGTGGCTGGTGATTGTAAATAAAAGTGTGGATCCAAATTTTCTTCCTTCCTTGCAGATCCGATTGCTTCCTTTATGGCGAAAAACACTGAGGATGCTAAGAACAATGGTGGCTCGCCTATAGCTCTTGAAGAGTAAACAGCTCTAGGATTCGGAGCATCAGTAAGCAATGAGACATTGAATTCTCCTGGAATATCACTACAAGCCGGTAGCTTATACATTCCTGGTCCTTTTGAATATAAAGTTCCATCTGGTGAGTAAATTAGTTCCTCAAGTGTAAATAATCCATATCCCTGCATGAATGCACCTTCAATTTGTCCAATATCAATTGCTGGATTTAATGATGATCCAACGTCCATAACAATATCAGTTCTAATGACTTGATGATCACCAGTCAAGCAGTCGACTTCAACTTCAGATACTGCTGATCCATGAGTGTAATAATTCTTAGTTTTTCCAATGTCTGCTCCAATATCTGGTGTTGCAAAGAACCCAGTGGCTGATAAAGAAACTCGGTTCAAGTAAGCAGCTTGTATCCAGTCATTCCAATTTCCTTCATGCATTGTTTCACGATAAGCTTTGAGTCTATCTCTTAATATACCACAAGCTTCCATAACTGCTCCTCCATATAAATCAGAACTAACAGATGCAGCAGTAGATATTGCATTTGGGACCTTATCTGTTGCTGTTTCCTGAATATGAATTCTTTCTGTTGGAATTTTTAAGATTCGTGATGCGACTTGAATCATTTTTGTATGTAAACCTTGGCCCATCTCAACACCTCCAATTGATATCAGCACAGATCCGTCAAGATAAATATTTATTAAAGCACCACCTTGATTCATGAAAACTGGCGGGAATCCAACACCAAAAAGATTATTTACTACACTTATCCCACGTTTCTTCCATCGATTTTGTTGATTGAATGCTTCAATATCTTCCTTACGTTTTTCAAAGTTCGCTGACTCCAAAGCTTCTTTCAAACATCGTGAACTATTGCAATCAGTCAAAACCTGTTTGTAGTGGGTAATCTGACCAGTCTGAAACATATTTAAATCCATAATTTCCAAATAATCTTTTCCAACAACATTTGCAACATCTCTTATGATTGATTCAGCTGCAAACATGGCTTGTGGACTTCCAAAGCCACGAAATGCAGTATTTGATCTTGTGTTGGTTTTAAGAACTGGAAGTTTTCAAAAATAGTTATCATCGTTGATATTAAGAATAGCTTACTCACCATTGGATTCATATCTGACATTTTTGAAGTTGTAAGCATTTGTGATGTGCTCGAATGCATTTTGCATTACAAATGAGGAATAATCTAAAGAATATCCAGCATTAAGGTAAGCCTTTATATCAGCTGCAGTAATTTTTCCATCTTTTGTACATCCGACTTTATATTTAAACAAGAATGGGTGTCTTCCTCCCGTCATTTCCATATCTTCGTTTCTATCGAGTACAATTCGTATTGGTCGATTCATTTTATATGCGGCGAAAGCTGCTGGAAGTGTTATCAATGCACTTCTTGTCTCCTTACCTATTGTAAAATAAGATATATGATTTTTGTGAGTGTCTGAAGCAAGATACCTATATCTACCTCCAAATCCACCGCCAATCCTTTTTGTTTTACATACGATTTTGTTTTGAGGAATTCCGAGAAATTCAGCTGTCCGACGTTGTAATTCGCCAGGCTGTTGTGTTGATGAGAAAAGTTGTAGCTCATCATTGTCTCTTGGAACAACAAGAATTGCATGAGGTTCTAAATAAAAGTGTTCTTGTCCATTCGTACGAGCTTCTCCATTAATAATATGGTCTGCTTCCTTCAGACCTTCCTCAACATTTCCGTGGTTGTGCACTACGTATGTGTTGGATATGTGAGATTTATACTTTATTGCGTCTTCTAGAGTAACAATTACTGGAAAAAGCTCTTCATACTCAACTTTGACCATTCTCGCTGCTCGTTGAGCTTTATCTTGATCATCTCCGATTATTATTCCGATAATTTGGCATTGACTTGTTACTGTATCACTTCTAAAAACTTCTTCATCTTTTATCATCGGTCCATTAAGATTGCGATCAATTTCAACATCTTTTGCACAGTAAAAAGCATGAATCCCTGTCTGTTTTAATGCATCACTAGCATTAATCGATATAATCTTGGCATGAGCTTTTGTACTCAACACAAGTGCCATATAAAGTTCGTTGTCATATTTTGGAATATCATCAACATATGTAGCTTCTCCTGTTGCTTGTTTAAAAGCTGAAACATGAATAAGAGGTCTATAAATTGGATCTGTAGTTTTTTGATCAGATGATACTTTCTCAAACAGTTGAGAGCTTTTTGGGTCAAGAGTATGGAATCCATTAATTCCACTTCTATCACGATCATCCAAAATTTTCAAGTCCATTGACTTTTCTAATGTATTGCTGATATTGAGGAATGCTTTGAAGAACAAACTCAACATAAGTGATTGACGATAAGACACAACTCCGCCGGGTGCATCAGCTGAAAGAGGGATTTCTTCCAATAAACTTTTATTCACAGTTTCTACAAGATCACGACTCCAAACAACATCCTTAATCTTTTCTGCTGTTTTTGTCGCAAGCACTGTGGTAGGTGCCATTCCTCCAAATGCCAATCTCGCTTCCTTGATATAATTTGAATTGGGCAAGAATTTTATGTTTATAGCTGCATTAACAATAGCAATGTCATCATCTCGACGTTTGGCTTGTTTGTATGCTAAGAAATGTTGATCTTTTGAAGTCTTCGGAATGAATACGGAAATGAGAACTTCAGAGCGGTCGATGATGTTTTTACGATATCCTGTAAAGAAGTTTTCATCTATTTTAATCTTCCTACGACCTTCATCAAGGCTCTCAACTTCTAATTTAGCATTTGCAGCCATCAAAATTGGAATAAGATCAGAAATTGGTGATCCAGTCATGATGTTTCCACCAATTGATGCTACATTTCGAACTTGCATGCCTGCAAACCAGTGAAGCATCTCAACAATACTTTTATATATTCTGGTTTCTGATTCGGGAAGTTCATCAACTTGTTTCTGAAGAAAAATTTGAATATCTGATAAAGTGACTGACGATCCAATTCTTATTCCATCACGTAACACATAGATCTGATTCAGTGCATTGATTTGAGTTGGATTTACCAAATATTTGTAATCAAAATGTTTGAATTTCAATTCAACACCAACTTCAGTATTTCCAACAACAATCTTGGCTGCTTCTTTGTGTTCCTTTTTGAATGCCAGCAATTGCTGCAATTCTGTTGGACGATACCAAATAACTCCACGATCATTTGAGAATTTCAAGACTTCCTTATCATATTGATCAGTGAGTTTTAATTCTGGTGGAAAAATTGGTTCTTGTGATGGATTGTAAGGTGCGAATTCACTTGGTTCAAAAAGTTTGTCTTCGACTTCCCCATTGCATCCATTTCCTGTGACTTTACAGCACTTATCTCCCATTCCACATGCATATTCCTTAGTAAATGTTCTGTATCCTTCAATGATTGGACGATATCCAGTACAGCGACACAAATTTCCTTGAAATGCAACTTCAAGTTCGTTCATATCCGGTTTTGGAGTATTTCTAAGTAATGCATACATTGACATGACAAATCCAGGAGTACAAAATCCACATTGTGATCCATGAGCTTTTGCAATTCTTTCTTGAACTGGATGAAGACGAGTTCTCGTGCTTCCAATTCCTTCAACAGTTGTCACTGACATTCCATGCAGAGCACATACCGGCATCAAACATGCATTAGCTGAAAAGTGCTTAACAATGCCAGCACATCGATCATATCTTGAAATCATTACAGTGCAAGCTCCACAACCACCTTCTGCACATCCAAGTTTTGTGCCGCATAAATAAAGTTTTTCACGAAGATAACGAATGAGTGTTATGTCAGGGTTAATATCACTATCAATTACCTATTAAGTGAGGGAATAATGTAATGATTAATTTGATTGAACCTTCGGGTGTTAGAGATCAAAAAATTGAAATAAGTATCAATGATAACATACTTGTACGATTGTATTCAAAGTTTATAAAAATCAAAAGTATTGAAAATACTGTGTATATGTATTTAATTCAATGCATTAAGTTTGTGTAAATCATGCGAAACAAGTTTTTAATTAATTCCAGTTGTTTAATTATTATTTATAAATAAAAATTAATTTATCGCCGACATACACCACATTACACTCAGTCCATACCTTTTTTCCATTCACAAAAAATACTAAACAAGATTTCTCAATGTTTGACATGATGACACTGACTGATGATAACAATTTAATTATAATTCTAGTCTCGCAATTAGGTTTGACTTTTATGACTGATCTCGTTGAATGCTGGATCGCGACTGAGTTCAAAAAAATCAATGTATTGCTGAGTATTGCTATTGTTTAATTTATGAAGATTATAATATACACATTACAAACGTGATTGGAAGCAAATTAAATTTATTTGTAAAAAATTGGTACTCATGTGTTTGGTTGAAGCTTTTAATGACGTTATCAAGTAAATGTTTAAAAAAAATTATAAAAACTTATAAGTTTACGTTCTATGGTTTAATTGACTGATTTTCAGGTTCAATGAACTGAAAAAATAAAAAGTTAACTTTTGAATTTTAAAATAAATAATCCACAGTCGGTTCTTGATTTAAAAATGCACTTCCTTACCTTTCTGGCAATCTCATCTTTGCATGCCATTCTGATTCTTGCTGATGTAGCTGGAGCTTGGAGATAAAAATGCGTTTCCAAATTTTCTTCCTTCCTTGCAGCTCCAACTGCTTCCTTAATTGCGAAAAATACTGAAGAAGCTAAAAATATTGGTGGCTCACCGACGGCTCTTGAAGAGTAAACAGCTCGAGGATTCGAAGCACCAGTAAGCAATGAGACATTGAATTCTCCTGGAATGTCACCAATGGTAGGGATTTTGTACATTCCTGGTCCTCTCGAGTAGAGTGTTCCATCTGGTGAGTAAATTAGTTCCTCAAGTGTAAATAATCCATATCCCTGCATGAATGCACCTTCAATTTGTCCAATATCAATTGCTGGATTTAGTGATGATCCAACGTCCATAACAATATCAGTTCTAATGACTTGATGATCACCAGTCAAGCAGTCGATTTCAACTTCAGATATAGCAGCTCCATGAGTGTAATAATTCTTAGGCTTATTAACATCATCTCCAATATCTGGTGTTGCAAAGAACCCAGTAGCTGATAAAGAAACTCGATCAAAATAAGCAGCTCGAATCCAGTCATTCCAATTTCCTTCTGGCATTGACTCACAGTAAGCTTTAAGTCGTTCATTTAATATTCTACAAGCTTCTAAAGTTGCTGCTCCAAATAAATCAGAACCGACAGAAGCACCAGCTGTCGATGTATTTGGAACTTTATCAGTTGACGTTTCCTGAATGTGAATTTTTTCAATCGGAATTTTAAAAGCTCTAGAAGCAATTTGTAGAAGCTTCGTATTGATACCTTGACCCATTTCAATAAATCCATGCGATAAAAGAACGCTCCCATCCAAATAAATGTGAACCAAAACTCCACCTTGATTCATAAATATTTTCATATAATTTATACCGCACATCACATTCACACAGCTGATTCCTCGTTTCTTCCATCGATTGTTTTCATTAAACATTTTAATTTCCTGTCGTCTGTTTCGGAAATTTGACATCTTTTGTACTTCCTCATAACATCTGGATGAGTTGCAGTCTTCCAGAAGTTGATTATAAAATATTTTATCTCCAGTTTTTAACATATTGATTGCCATAATATCCATATAATCTTTTTTTAAAGCATTTGCGACGTCTCTTATGATATGCTCAGCAACCATTTGACCTTCCGGAATTCCAAAGCCACGAAAGGCGTTGTTTGATGGTGTGTTTGTCTTCATAACTATTATTAGTTGTAATAAAATGGTGAGAATAGAAGCAGAGACATTAAATAAGAAGGAAATAATTACCATGACTCACAAATCGGACATTTGAAATTCGATATGCGCTATTTACGTGACAGGCAGCTTTCTCAACAACACCTGGCGATGCTTCCAATGAATATCCGGCATTTACATAGCATTGGACATCAAGGGCTGTTAAAATTCCTTCACTTGTGAATGAAACTTTATATTTAAATAAGAAGGGATTCCTTCCACCTGTCATCATCATGTCTTCATCGCGATCAAACATTATTCTGACTGGTTGCTTTAGTTTGAATGCGGCAAAAGCTGCTGGCAATGCTGCAAGTGAGGCACGGCTTTGTTTACCTAATGAAATACACAAATAATTAAATATAAATAAATGCAACATTGGAAACATCTGCTCTACCTCCAAAACCGCCTCCAATCCTTTTGACTCTACAAACAATTTTGTGTTGAGGAATTTCAAGAAGATTTGCAATTCTTTGCTGAATTGCTGTTGGTTCTTGTGTTGCAGTGTAAACTTCAATTTCATCTGAATCTTTTGGAATTGCTAGAGCTACTTGTGTTTCTAAATAGAAATGTTCCTGTCCACCAAGACGAACTTGACCTACTACAGAAAATTCATTTTCTTTGAATGCTTTGTCCACATTCCCGCAATCATGTAGAGTTGTGGGGAAGCCTTCATAATATGAATTACAGGCTATGGCATCTTCTAAGGTCACAAGAATCGGTGACAAATCTTCATACACAACTTTTACCATTCTTGCAGCTCTTTGCGCTATTTCTTGATTGTCTCCAAGAATTATTCCTAAAGTTTGACCTTGACTAGTCACAGTGTCTCTTCTGAATACTTCTTCGTCCTGAATTATTACACCGAATTTATTTTGTGATTCAGTCAAATCTTTTGCTGAAAAAAATGCATGAATTCCTGGTTCCTTTAATGCTTCACTAGCATCAATTGAAATAATTTTCGCATGAGCTTTTGTGCTTAACACTAGTCCAATATAAAGTTCATTATCATGTCGTGGCATGTCGTCAATATACATTGCTTCTCCCGTTGCTTGCTTAAAAGCTGAATTGTGTGGAGTTGGTCTATAAATTGGATCTATGGTTGGTTTATCAGTTGATACTTTCTCAAACAGTTGAGAACTCTTGGGGGTCAAAGTGTGGAAGCCTTCAATTCCACTTCTATCTCGATCTTCCAAAATTTTTAAGTCCATAGACTTTTCCAATTCATTGCTAATATTGAGGAATGCTTTAAAGAACAAACTCAACATAAGTAATTGACGATAAGACACAACACCGCCGGGTGCATCAGCTGATAATTGAATCTCTTCCAATAAACTTTTATTTACAATCTCGACTAGTTCACGATTCCATACTTTGCTAATCATCTCTTCTGCTGTTTTTGTCGCAAGAACTATGGTAGATGCCATTCCTCCAAATGCCAATTTCGCTTCCTTAATTATCTTTGCACTATCTTCGAATTTGATATTAATAGCAGCATTAACAATAGCAATGTCATCATCTCGACGTTTGGCTTGTTTGTATGCCAAAAAATGTTGATCATTTGAAGTCTTCGGAATGAAGACAGATATGAGAACCTCTGAACTGTTAATAATGTTTCTTCGATAGCCAGTAAAGAACTTCTCATCCATGATTACTTTCCTTCGTCCTCCATCAAGGCTCTCAACTTCTAATTCCGCATTTGCAGCCATCAAAATTGGAATAAGATCAGAAATTGGTGATCCAGTCATGATATTTCCACCAATTGATGCTACATTTCGAACTTGCATGCCTGCAAACCAGTGAAGCATCTCAACAATGCTTTTATATATTCTGGTTTCTGATTCTGGAAGTTCATTGATTTGTTTCTGAAGAAAAATTTGAATGTCTGATAAAGTGACTGCCGATCCAATTTTAATTCCATCACGTAAGACATCGATTTGATTCAGTGCATTGATTTGAGATGGATTCACCAAATATTTGTAATCAAAATGTTTAAACTTGACTTCAACACCAACTTCAGTATTTCCAACAACAATTTTGGCTGCTTCTTTGTGTTCCTTTTTGAATGCTAGCAATTGCTGCAATTCTGTTGGACGATACCAAATAACTCCACGATCATTTGAGAATTTCAAGACTTCCTTATCATATTGATCAGTGAGTTTTAATTCTGGTGGAAAAATTGGTTCTTGTGATGGATTGTAAGGTGCGAATTCACTTGGTTCAAAAAGTTTGTCTTCGACTTCCCCATTGCATCCATTTCCTGTGACTTTACAGCACTTATCTCCCATTCCACATGCATATTCCTTAGTAAATGTTCTGTATCCTTCAATGATTGGACGATATCCAGTACAGCGACACAAATTTCCTTGAAATGCAACTTCAAGTTCCTTCATATCCGGTTTTGGAGTATTTCTAAGTAATGCATACATTGACATGACAAATCCAGGAGTACAAAATCCACATTGTGATCCATGAGCTTTTGCAATTCTTTCTTGAACTGGATGTAAACGAGTTCTGGTGTTTCCAATTCCTTCTACGGTTGTCACACACATTCCATGCAGTGCACAGACCGGCATCAAGCATGCATTCGCCGAGAAGTGCTTAACAATGCCAGCACATCGATCATATCTTGATATCATCACAGTACAAGCTCCACAACCACCTTCTGCACATCCAAGTTTGGTTCCACATAAGTGAAGTTTTTTACGAAGATACCGTAGTAAATTAGCTTCACTATCAGGTGACTTATCAACAACCTAATAAAAATTTTATTTTAAGTGATTTTCTTTTATATCTCAATTGCTTATTAAAGTTCTTATCTTATATTTTTGGGTAGACATGAAGTATTTGGATCTTGTTGCATTTTATTTTATGATTGAAATGATTTGAAGACTGTATAATGATAGAAAGCGTATTCGTCTTTTTATCATAGTTTTTAGACATTTAGCTTAATTTAAGCTGAATTATAGATTTAAATCGAACTTAGCAATGATTTTTCGATGCTATCTATTAATGGCCATTCTTACCTTTTTCCCGTTAACAAAAAACACCAAAGTTGAAGACATCACTGACTATTTTAATGAAAAATTAAATCAAAAATTTTTGCAAACTCTTTCAAGCAAGTCTGTTCAACAAACTGAATAAACACGCGTGAACGAAAGTACTCCAGATACTTATTATCAGTAACTTGATAAAAAAAATAGATGTGATTTATTTGTGTACAAACATATTTAGTGTAAAAGTACTCAACAAAGCGAGCTAGCAATACACGAGTTTAGATATGATATAATAAGCTTGATTATTGTATGAAAGCTTTCACTATTACTACTCGATGTGCTGAAGTTGAAAGCACCACATAAAAGAGTGTTTCAAATTTTCCAAAGCATGCGCGCAATCAACTTCTTATTGCTCATTTAGCGTGGGACGAGGAAACAACTTGTTACACTTAATTAAGATTTGTCAATTTTGAGGAAGTTAAGATCTGATAAAATGTCATTAATGGAGTCTTTTCAGCTATTTATTGATGTTAACCTTTTGGATATCCACAATCAATTGTTGACGGCCCAAAAATCATCGCATGTTAATTTTCATTTACTTTCCAGTACCTCAAAAACATTTCATGTCACCGTTTTCGTAATGCTCAACTATTGGAAGTAAAGAAAATTTTTCACAGTCGAACGGTAGAATTTCACGGTGATGGACGTGAAAATATTTTAATCCCGTAAAGCTAAGAGATAAAAGGTAGAAGAAAGAGCAAAAAAAGAAGAAGGGGAAAAGGAAGAAGAAAATAAGGAACATAAAAAACGAAAGAATAAAGAATCTACTTTCTTTTCCTCATAGTAGACAACAGTGACTGTATAAAAGGATTACGAAAGTATAAGAAAAGTTTTTTGTGCACATAAAACAATTTTGTTTTAAAAAAATAATTTTTTATTATTTTCTGTGAAAACGATTAGAACAAAAGAGACGAGATTCCTATTTTTTTTGTTGTGCTGGAACCAACAAGAGTGCTCGAATAGAACAAAGTGAATGTGAATATAAAAGGCTTACTCTTTAAGTGGTTATGCAATTACTTTCTACTCAAATGGATTTAGAGGACTTACGAGTATAGATAATTTCCATTCATTTGCACTTACATATACATAAAATTGGAGTCATGCATAGTCAATATATATCAACGACACATTCATGTCTCTGTATGGATTTTAATAAATGGATTGTTTAATAAATTCGCTAATGGTAAGTTGTGTGCAATATTGGTCATTTATTAACACTGTGTGTCGCCTTATGTCGCTCATATTTATTATTGACACATAAAAATAAAAAATTTATTCTCACATTAAGTTTTCCCTTTTTTTATTATTTCCTCATCTACTCGAGAATGAACGCTTGTCGTTGACGAAAAAAAGAATCATATAAATACAACTTTTTTATGTACGGACTAGGAACGAAGCTAGGAATTATTTTTTTTATAATCCAAAAAGAACTAGAAAATTGTAAAATTCGAAGTTTTTGACCCTCAAGCTGACCTAACTCTCTCTTAAGTACACCCCTGGCATTCACAGTGCTGAATATGAAATGAAAGAAAGAACGGGAAACAAGAATAAAGCGTGAGTGAGATATTATTGTGTGACACAACAAGAATGAGTCTGGAAAATAAAAAATGAGGGAAGTTGAAAGCTTTTAGGCTCAACAAATGTTGTTTGCATGTTCTTTCATAGTCTCTTTCCTCTTTATTTGTTGCTCTACAAAATGAAAATTGATATTTGAATGTGAAAATTGCCTCAGCTTTTATGCTGTTTTTTTTGTCTTTTACTCGTGACATGCTGGAGATGGAGGACACTTTTCTTTGCTCCATTTACATATTTGTCTCCTTCTTATTTTGCACTTTACACTAGTTATGTAATAATAAAGAAAAGAAGGAGATAAAAAACACAAGATGAACAGTTTTGTTGTGCTTGCAAAAATTGTAAGTAGCCTTGAAGGAATTTTTTCGCTTCTGCTGTTTGAATTTTAGTTCCTGCGAATATGCACAAGGCTAAAGTTGTAGCAATCCAATGAAGAAAACATATTTGCCTTATACAAATATTGGATTGGATTGTCTGGAAATATTGGGATTTTATTTTAGAACGGTCGGTTTTTTTTTTTGAAATTTTCGAAAGTTTAGTTTTTCACAAACTTCAATCAATATTTTAATTTTAAAAAGCAAATCAGCCTTTTGAGATTTGTTTAAAATAAGGAATTCGTTCATTTTTATGTTTCTAGATTATTATCAAAAAAAAAAAAACAAAAAAAAATTGTTGAAAACTTCTCAGAAAAGAAAATTAATATTTTAGCAAAAATCTCAAATTCGATGACTTTAAGTTTTTGAATCGAATATATTTTCCTCGGTAATTAAATTTATTATCAATCTAGCTATGTAGATATCTAGAATAATTAACCTACTGAATTATTCATTACAATATATTCAATTCTCTGCTCCATAACATTTAAAGTTTATTATATTCATAAAAAAACTCATAATAAAGAAAGAATCATACCGTCACTAACGAGCAGAACGGTTTCGTTAAAGCTTCAATATAATGATGGAAATTTAGTGCGTTCTTGATTATTTGTATACATAAAATTAGAAGAAAAAGGAACTTAACAACAAACAAAATAAAGGAAAAAATAGTAAGCAAATTAAAAAAAGTTTTTTTTCTTCGTAACTAGTATCATAAATTCGCTTTAATGACTTTATAAGATTGTGTTTGTATAAATTTCAGCGTGACGTCACTGACTGACGTCAAAGTGAGTGAGCTTAAATTTGCAAAAGTTTCATAACAATATGAACGAGAAAAAGAAAATAAGAAATATAAAAATTGAAAAGAAAAAAAAGCAAACTTTTTTTTGTACTTATGACACAATGCTCTCTGGCATTAGCTAGAGCTATACAGAAATCCGTCATAATAAATTCGAAAAGTTCTTGATGGCAAGGTCTTTTCTTTTCTCTAGTTGAATTAGAAAAGCTGTCAAAGTTATACAAAGCGTTCTCGTGCATCTTTAAAACCCTTAAAACAAACTCCACAATTTTTTTAAAAGCATATTTTTTCAGTATATTGCGTTGTCTGCACTTTATTTGCCTGTCAGCTACATAAAAACCAAATTTCGCTCATGATTTCTTAAAATGCGCTCAAATCAGCCAAGCAGGACTGGTTCCTTATTCTTAGCTGTTTATATAAACGTAGGATATACGTAGAGAAATTTGTTGCCATGAGGTGGTAATTGGAAATTATATCACGTTCTTTTTCGCCTTGCTCGTTCATGGATGAAAAATTCCTGAAGTCAACTTCATGTAAATTAAATAAAGGCATTAATTGATTCTTGATCCTTTTTAATTAACGAAATGGCTTTCGATTGCCCTTTTAAAAGTAAAGTCCTTATGAAGATATATTGACGTAAATAGAATCGATGTAACTACTGTTTTCAATTTCGAGTACGAAAAAAAAGGAGATTTGAACAAAGTTTTCATATAGTTTAAAATGTGCAAACAAAGTACAACAACAAGGAACGTGTACTACAAAGTATTCAACGAGAGAAATATTTCATGTCGAACAGCTTTTATCGACAAAAACAAATACTCCTAAATCATTTCATTTTATTGGCTTTTTTGAACGTCATACACATTCATTATGAATATCAACGAGAAATCTTTTTATTAAATTTCGCACTTCTGCAAATCCCCAGGTGCTTTTGGTTTGTCATTTGAGCTTGTGTAACAAAATATTTCATTGTATTTGAAATTCTTTGGAATATTTTGAATTGCATCAGATGATATTATCCACAGTTACCCATTGGCTGCTCCATAGAAAGAAAGAATAATTTAAATAGATAACAAACACAATGAAAAACTCATCAGAAAAATCGATGCGCAATAAAACATTTCAAAGGATCAACGTGTATTAAATATGTAAGATCTCATTTAGTAACGTTGACAAAAAACGTCCATCAATTGCTCGTTAAATTCTTTTCAGACTGTTATGGGTAGATTGTGACATTGTTTTGACTATGAGCTAATGTAAGTGTTTAAAATTTCATGATGCTACCCACTTGGATTGTCTAAGCATGAAATAAAACAACTCACCATTTCTTATTAAGTCTTAGCTGTCTGCTTTGCTCCATTGTTAATTACATCGAGATTTGACAAATCCCTGGGTTTTATAAATAAAAAAATGTTTCTTTGCACTTTGAAAATAAAAAGATTTGTTTTTAAGAAGGAAATTTGAATATTTTATCATAATTTAATGGAAATTTCTTTTACTGAATACTTGAACTTTTGTAAGGAAATAGCAAAGGTTAATTAAAACGTAATTAGTTATAAGAAGCTCTTAAAATCATTTTAATTATTTATTAATTTAATTTTTTATTTAAAAACAAACTTTTTTGAAGCGAGTTCAGTTTTTTATTAAATTAGTTCAATTTTTGAACTTAAAAGCTCAATTCTGAACCAAAAGTTCAATTTTTGAACGTAAAAATTTAAACTTTGTCTTTTTGAAGGTCTTCAAATTCCCTTAAATTTAACAGATAAAGCTTTAGAACCACAAATCCACAATGATTCAGATTCGGAAAAAATGTTCAAAAATTCCTTGTGCACAATATTTTTCTGACACATTAGAAAATTGAAAGTTTTTGTTGATTTCTTTTGATTTGATTCTTTTAGCATCTTCTACATAATATTTTCGTTCATTGCTCAAAAAATCAGTCCTTAATATAAAGGATAAACATGTTTTTTTATCAAAAGTTTGTAAAAGTTTATGAAAAAATATTGTGCATGATCAAACTTTGTATGAAATTTTATGTAAACTTTGATCGCAAATATCTCGAAAACGGCATCAAACGGCATGTCCTCAGTAATATGGGAGATAGATTAAAGCTTATTTAATTGATTTATATAGGTTTCAGAGAGGTCTTTGGAAGACTTTTTAACTTATGAATAGTTTAAGTTTTGTAAAAATACTCAGATTTCAATTCCATTTTTAAGGCTTAATAAGCAGATTTCTATTGAGTTGGTTGTTTTAATATGTAGAGCTAAGCTTAAATTAGCTAGCAACTGCTTTCAAGACATCCAAATAACAACTTAAAGTAGAAAAAATCACATTTCTTTTTTCATACTCAAATTGTAAACAAATTTTGGGTGAGATTAAATTAATGATTTCTGGAGTTAGACAGCAAATAGGAACGAGATATTTTTAAAGGATATGCACAAAGGAAAGATCTTTTATCTGGCATTTAAAAGACAAAGTTTAATTAACATGAAATTTTTGAATTTTTGAACATTTTTTTCGATTCTGAATCATTGTGAAATCTACATTCATTTAATGATTTCAAATTCAACCACAAATTAAATTCAATCGTAATCCAAATAAAATGAATAAATTGCATTTCAAGACAAAGAAAAATCAAAATTATCTTCTTAAAACCTCAATTAATTCAGTAAATTAAACTCTAGATATTGAGCGGAAATCTTAAACGAATAAGTTTGAATATCGCTGTAATTGAAAAATCTTGTGTTGAAGCTCATAGACACACATTCTTAGTTTATTTTATGATTACATTTCGCTTCAAACCTTTCTACTTTTTCTTCTTATTCATCCACATTTCATTGTTATAAGAGTATTGTTGGTAAAGATTTTTCCCTAACAAGTTCAAACTTTCTACTTCTTCATGCTATTCAGTTATCTCACGAAAAGAATTTACTTCTCCTTCCCATTTTCTATCACCATGTAGAAATGAATGTAGCACTTTACAGTTGAGTGTTAAAAGCATTTCAGAACTTAATTCTCTTTTTAATTCCATTAAAAACTAGAAATTTTTTTTGTTTGAAAATATAAAACTTCTTGCTTGCTCTTAAATATACAGAGTATTATTGTAGATGCAAATAGGTATTAAGGATCTTCGTAACTCTCTTACAGTTTGTTTTCACTTCGTTTTCTTGTAATAATGTTTTTAAAAATAACAAAAGGGAAATGAAAGGAGCAAATAATTGAATTAAGCATCGAAAGTTAAAAATTGAACCCGTTAAAATTAAATTTAAAAGTTTGTTACTTGAAATTAGCTTCAACTAAATTTCAAAATTAATTTATACGTTAAAAAATTAAAACAAATGAGAAAAAAATTTGACCCAGAAAATCATTTTTGTAAATCTATCACGACTCAGTACTTTTCTCGTTATCCTAACATTTTTTTCGCTTTGGTACATACAAATTGATTAAATATTATTCAATTCACTTCAAACGGTTCAGTTGGGTGAGCATCTCTCTCAACAGGACATTATGAAATCTTATTTTTTCATTGAATTGGATTTGTGGTCAAAATAAATGTCCGTAGATTGAATTGTCCTAATGTGATGCTTTTATTTAATGGGTATTGTGTATATGAGAAATTCGACGTAGAGAAGCTTACATAAAAGGGTCATTTTGTCTCTTTTTTACATGAATTGATTTAAAAAATCAACTCATTAAACTGCCATAAAACTGTCGTCTGATACATTTATGTTCTTTTAAGGAAATCTTGATTTATGAGCTTCAAGTAATTTGTTCACACATTAAAATATTTTTTTTTGTATCCAATTCAATCTTGGAAAGCTCAGGAAGAAACGTAGTCGTTTGCCATTTTGCTTCTGTAGCATTTTCTTTCCTTCCTTTTTAAGCATTCATGAATCCATTTTCAGTACTGCATAATGTTCGCCTTTATACATTATGTATACAGAGTAACTGAGGAAAGCCCTGCTTGTGGCTGTTTTTTAATGTACCGAATTAATTTCTCTTCTGTTATGAAAGAAATTTCTTATTTTTTTCGATCATAATTTTTTTTTCTTCCTTTCATTCTCTTCCTTTCTGTTTTCTCATTTTAGGTAAGCTTCTATTTCAGAATTGGGGATAGAGAACTTTAGATTCACTTTCGTGTTACATTTCAAGTTCATTTAAAAAGTGAAAAAATACATAAAAGTGGTACTAAGAAGTCGATGACATTGAACAATTTACTTTCATTAATTTACAGATTAAGTCAGTCGTAACAAAGGAGGATATTCTCACTATAAGATGAACAAACGAAAGCACGAGCTTATCTCATCTTTTCATATTTTTCTTCCATTTCGTTAAAACTGAGTATATACATAAAGTCAGAGGAGTGAGATAACGTGAATAGAGTAATGCTTTAAAAATTGTCACGACCTTGATTAACACAAGACATGACATCTATCTAAAGTTGGAGATAGAGGAAAATGTGAGCAGAATATGCTATTGAGTTAGATGATTGAATAAGGAAGCGCATTGTGCATTTTAAAGAAGCTATTGCAGTGCAAATTTCAAGTCAAGGAGCGTATAATGTATTTTTCGATCTGTAGATTAAAATATTGTCAAGGATGTTATACTTAGAACCAAGCACCCTCATGACAAAATTTGAAAAAATTCGAGTCCACTTCAAGCTCTGGTTCTAACCATACTATCCTGCTTGCCCTTGGTTTGAATTTCAAATGTACTTTAGTTATTGGATCAGGTCAAAAAAATTAAAATGTTTGTGCAAACTTTCAATTCACAAAATTTCTTGTTCGTTTCATGTTGTGAATTTCATTATACAATTTAAATTGCTATTTACGTACTAATTATCAACTTAAATGTACAAGAACCTCGCCAATTTTAATTAAATTTATGCATAACGTAATTGCAAATTTAGAAAGTAAACTAGTGTATCGGGTAGAAACCCAATGCGGATATATTCACACCGTACCATCAAAAGTCTTATGGATAGACCAAGATTTGCTCAGCATAAGTTTGAAGGGTGGGCATGAAGTAAGGCCGAGATCCATATCGACACAGTTCAAAAGATATACCTAATTTATGTTATAATTATGTCAGCTACAAAAACACTTAGTTTGAAGTTTGTCACCCTCGAGAACACTATGAACCAGTATAGCTGATTTGGGTCCAAATCTCGGCCATACTTCACACTTATTTGAACCACATATTCTCGGAAATGTTAAAATATTATTAAAAAGTAATTAATCCTGAATTATGTCGCTATTTTGTCAAATGTTTTAAATTAAAGAATTTGATTTTTGGTTTCCACAGTGAAGAGTATGAACAAAAATTCAGATGGGGCAGTCGAAATTTTAGATTTCGTTTTTTTTAAGCTATGCATTAAAAAAGTAATATTGGTATGTGATTTAGGTCAGAAATATTTCAATTCAAATAAAACATACAAAATATTTTTTGGATAATTTCAATTTTGGACTAGGGGCGACCCTAGTCAAAATCAATTTTGTCACTTTTTTCTTCGAGGGTTTATCCAAATGGATTGAAACTTTGCATAAATATTCTAGTGCTTAAAGCAAATACAAATAAAACATCCTAAAATTTTTTTGAGCAAAGAACCAAGTAGGAAATACAATTTCAATTTTGGACTAGGGGCGACCCTAATCAAAATCAATTTTGTCACTTTTTTCTTCGAGGGTTTATACAAATGGATTGAAACTTTGCATAAATATTCTAGTGCTTAAAGCAAATACAAATAAAACATCCAAAATTTTTTTGAGCAAAGAACCAAGTAGGAAATACAATTTCAATTTTGGACTAGGGGCGACCCTAGTCAAAATCAATTTTGTCACTTTTTTCTTCGAGGGTTTATCCAAATGGATTGAAACTTTGCATAAATATTCTAGTGCTTAAAGCAAATACAAATAAAACATCCTAAAATTTTTTTGAGCAAAGAACCAAGTAGGAAATACAATTTCAATTTTGGACTAGGGGCGACCCTAATCAAAATCAATTTTGTCACTTTTTTCTTCGAGGGTTTATACAAATGGATTGAAACTTTGCATAAATATTCTAGTGCTTAAAGCAAATACAAATAAAACATCCAAAATTTTTTTGAGCAAAGAACCAAGTAGGAAATACAATTTCAATTTTGGACTAGGGGCGACCCTAGTCAAAATCAATTTTGTCACTTTTTTCTTCGAGGGTTTATCCAAATGGATTGAAACTTTGCATAAATATTCGAGTGCTTAAAACAAATACAAATAAAACATCCTAAAATTTTTTTGAGCAAAGAACCAAGTAGGAAATACATTTTCAATTATGAACTTGGGACAGGTCCAGTCAAAATCTCGTTTTTCACTTTTTTCCCTTCGAGGATAAATCCAAATACAGTAAAACTTTGTATGAGCATTCTAATCTTCAGGTCACACATTTCTGAATTAATAAAAAT